TATGCAACAGGTACATTCATGATAAGGTAGTCTAATCAAATTAAACACGTGTCATTAAGTTGTTAGGGGAGGTTTTATGTGCATGATGCTGATTGGCTAAAGTCCACAGAAGGGCAGCCAGTGGTCAGTGCAAATAAAGTGGCCCCTTGGACTAACTTTGAAGTCAACAATACAGTAAGAGCTGATAACAAATGGCGATATGTAGCAAACAGTAAGTTAATAAACTGCATTTACATGTCATTTCTGACCGTCAAACAGAAGAAACACAACACAAAACAGGCACCAGAACAATAACCACTGTTGACCAATTACAGCTACAGACCTCGTTACAGACTTAGTAAGGATGGGATATTTCTTCAGAAGAACCAGATATTGTTGCAGTAAACGGATAGAAACGGACGCATTCCGCACAGGCAGGCTCTCCACAGGCATTGTCAGTTGTTTAACTGTACAAACATTACCACCACGCGACTAACAGCACTGACAGCAGCGGAGTTGAAAAGGAGCAGCTTCTTCCTGCAAACAGCATCGCGTCACTGACGGAGCCACGCCTTCAAGTCGACGTCAAAAGCAGCCGACAAAGATGATCAGTTGAAGAATATTATGATTTCGGTCTCGTTTTAAGCTGCAGACCTGCACGCGTGCTCACATATGTGAAGGCATATGCGCGTTTGTCTTACTATCTCTGTTATTCTGGTCCCTCCTGATCGCACAACACACCGACGTCTAACAGTTACTGACCTTTTTCATGGCAGACATGTTTACTTGTTGAAGCAGGAGCTGCACTGGAATATTGAAACTAATAACATTAATAATCACTTCACTTCATTTTGGCGCGACAGTGAGCTAGCATTTTTACTGCTATAGTGTGTCTTACTTTTACACATAATCTTCATTTATATATATATCACTATGACTTATGCCATCACTTTTCCTTATTGTCTTTCTACCTTACCTTTGTCATTTTATCTTATTTGTGACTAGTGTTTTATTGCTGAGCTGACCCTTCTCTTGTCAAAAACATTTCATTGTAATTGACCCCATGTTAACCAGTTTATGTCAAATGAAACTGAAACTTTAACTTCTAGGTCCCTGCCACCCTAAAATAATGCAGCCATCTTTATCAGTAAAACTATGAGAAAGACACTAACAATAATCACATCTTTTCTCCGTCAATTCTACCTCCACAGTACATTTCCTACCGACTTCTTTGCTTTCTAAGCCTTGTGCATTTAAACAAGTTTTTTTCGATACAAAAAGATGACAAAGTGGTGAAACTCAGCAGTGGAACATGGACAGCACTACATCTGCTCTATGAGATCTGAGGAAGTTAGCCTATTTTAGAATAGAATGCACAGAGCCAATGTAGAGACATTAATATGAAACAACTTTTTGGAACCACTTTAATACAACAAATTTTTCAATAAAAAGTAAAAAAAAAACAAAAAAATATTTACAATGTTGAACAAACGGTTTTAGAAAAGGCATTCAAGAAAGAGTCAGTGCATAGCACAACACAGTACTGCCAACATGAACTCATAAAGAAATCTCTGCACATACGGTTTAGTTAAAAGAGGAAACTGTGAAAGCTTATGGGTGGGTTTTGGTCTGTAGGTCACCAACATACATGTAAGAAAACATGAATAAAATCCTACAGTTCCTTCCAGTTTACGGGAGACTTTCCGGATTTCTTTAGCAGCTCGTTGGCCTTTGAGAAATGCTTGCATCCAAAAAATCCCCGATGAGAAGACAAGGGAGAAGGATGCACAGTCTGCAGGACGTGGTGGCGGTTCTACAGACAGAGAGAACAGAAAGTTAGATGCATGAAGGTTATAGAAAAGGCTTTGGTTTAAAACAGAGTAGACCCACCCTGTTAATAGCAGCTCCCTTCTTCTGAGCATAAGATCCCCAAAGAATGAAGACAAGGCCTTCCAGGTTGTTGCTGAGCCACTGCACCACGGCGTCAGTGAAGGTCTCCCAGCCTCTGTCTTTGTGGGAGTTGGCCTGGTGCGCTCGGACAGTCAACACAGCGTTGAGCAACAACACACCTGACGGGCGAGGTGACGGGCGGAGAAGGCGGCAGGTGAGGTAAAGACCAACAGATCTCTTGCTGTGCAAGTTTGCGTAAACCGCTTTTTGTTTTTTTAAATACCTTGTTTGGACCATCCAGTCAGATCTCCGTGTCCTGGGTGCTGAAAGCCTTCAATGTCCGACAGCAGTTCTTTGTACATGTTCTCCAAACTAGATGGAAAAGGATCACGGGTGTGATAAATATGTCAAAAGGACGATTTAAAGTTCGACGAGCTCACAGGCAGAGATACTGAAAAGGTTTTAACCTGGGCGGAGGACGCACTGGTCTTTTCACGCTAAAGCACAATCCATGGGCTTGGTTAGGACCGTGATATGGATCCTGGCCGAGAATCACCACTTTGACCTGGAAATAGAGGGATTAGACAAATCACACATACACAAACTTTGATTTTCCATTTTTCATTTGCATGTGAAGTCCTCAGCGCCTGCTGGGGTGTGTAGGCGGCTTGCTGTCTGTTTAGCACGTGGGAGGCTCTGAAATATGTTTGTCAACGTATGTCACAATAGCTGCTCTTAAGTGTGATAAGAGACAGGACGTCTCGCAGTCCTCTACAACCTAACTGAGACAAAACAGAAGTTATTTTTATTGGCCCAGATACCGTCATTCACAATTACACAAACTTAATAACGCAGAGAGATATCGAGATGAGATTCTGCAACCAGTGGCAATCCCATTTCTCCACAGTCTGGGACCGAACTCCATCCTCTAAGATGACAACGCTGGCCCCCACAGAGCGGTTTATCAGAGACTACCTCCAGAATTTGGGAGTGGAGAGGATGGAATGGCCTGCCAGCAGTCCTGACCTCAACCCAAGAGAACACTTGTGGGACCAGCTGTTCGTGCCAGAGTGACCAACAGAACCACGTTGGCTGACTTGCGACAAATCCTGCTTGAGGAGTGGAATGCCATCCCACAGCAGTGTGTGAGCAGGCTGGTGACCAGCATGAGGAGGAGGTGCCAGGCTGTTGTGGCTGTGTATGGTTCTTCCACACGCTACTGAGGCTCCTGTTTGTTAAATGAATAAATTGTAAAATTGCCGATACGTCTTGTTTCTTCCTTGCAACTGATGGACTTGAATCATCCAATCCACCAAACAACACCAAACAAGAGTCAATAGCAACAGCAGAATAAGCTGTTTGGCATTGGCAGAGAAGATTTGGCAAATTTTTCATGGGCGCAACCCACATACTCAGCTGTGCTGCTCATCCCACAAATGCATGATCCTTACAAATGGGGCACCGTTTGAAAGGTAAATAAACAGGCTTTCCAACGGTATAACATTTATTGACAAGAAGCATCGTTATAAAAGAGAAATAATCTACCAAACACTAATTTCCGAACTTTTTGTTCGATGTTTATATATTTTGTGGCATGTACACATTTCATGTAATGTCCGCGTTCTGTCTCTTTAAATTATTCTCTTTATTGTGATACAGCACTTTGCAACTTTGCATTAAATGCTGTACACTGTGGTGTCAGACACAGTGTCTCAGGTCACCGCAGGTACACTTACATCTCGGATGTCACACGTCTGAGTCCAGGTGAAGACGTGTTCAGCAGGTGGGTACACGGTGTGGCGTTTCCTCTCTTCACAGACAAACTGCATCAACTGTGGCAGAGACATGGAGTTATTTAAACAGTTCATAACCACAGAGACACACAGCGTGACGACTCTCGCTCGCTCACTCGTTTAAAGTAGGGTTTTCCAAATTCCTCCGACAGTCCCTCCGTCCAGCTTTCCCCAAAGCCCGGAGGTGTTCGAGCAGAGGCGAGTTTCTTCAGCGCTGCGTTCTTGTTGCGGGCGATCCTGTCCAGCTGGTCCGAGGAGAGAGGAGCAGGAGGCGGGCTGGACGGCTCCGGCTCCACCGCCACGGACTTCAGCTTCTTCTGCACAATTGAAGCATTTTCAACGAAATACACAGCGGGTGATAAGCGCGCAGACTGGTTTAGAAACCGTCGACAGTAAAGTGCAAACATTTTTCGCGCTGTGGAAGCTATTTTGCTCCACTTTTGACAACGACCAAGAACACAGCAGTGCTCGTGAACGCAGCTTGGATTACGCTGAACGTGTCTTAAATAGGACTACAACTACACTGTAATTGTTTGAATACTAATAACGTTATGTTTTAACAGTACAAGCTAGACACGTGTTTGATGTTAGCTGACAAACTGAAGAAGAAGTGACGCTCACCGGGTCCTTGGCATCCTCCTCGGCTTCATTTATATCCTTAGAAATTCTCTTCTTCGACACAGGCGAAAAAAACGAGTTGATAGTTTTTTGTCCAATCATTTTGTTGAAAAACACCTTGGCGGTAAGCAGCTGCGAACTAATTGTTAAGTTATTACGGTATTCGTGCTAATGTAGGCGCGCAGTGGTCCCCTCAGAAAACACAAACTCGTTACTGGTATTGAAGTATTCGCGCCAAAAAAAAGAAATGACGAAACAGAGTTATGCTAATGAGCTGAGTGCTGTTCAAGACCAACTGTTGCTAACGGTGGTGTTTACTACAGCCTGTGGAAGCTAAGCTACCGAGCGTTTAACAGAAATATACGTTTTATCAACTATATATCTTGATTATGTGACACTGTATTGTGTAAAGGGATCATGTCAACTTATTTGCTGTTGTCACCGTTGTGTTGAGCTAAAATAAATTGGTCGACTGAGAAGTCACTGAACAGAAATTAATCGTCGACTATTTGGATAATAAATACATTTTGCATTTTTTAATATTCATAAATATGAGTTGCTACTTTTACTTGTTTTTATATGATATTGAATATGTTGAACTGTTTTAATATCAAATGCCTTGGGCATTTTCACTATTTTATACATTTTATTGGCAAAGTGAGTAATTGTGGAAATAGTTAACAGATTCGTAATACTGTTAGTTGCAGCCCTGCCTTTTATTTACATCCGAATATGGCGTAACAATAATAATCCTGTCCACTCACTGCAGATCCACACATTTATTATTTTCACATTTATTTACAAAACCAGGGTTAATGTTCCATCGTTTTTGCATCATTCAGGTCTTTAAAACCCCTAAAATCAAGGTCCCCAGAGCCCCACAGACCACCGGTTACTGCAATGGAAAAGTTTGTGAATAAACTCTCCTGCACTAACAATGCCAGACGTCCAGAGAAGAGGATCAAACTGGAGAGCGATGAGGAAGACGAGTTCTCTCATCCTGTTCCCTGGCAGAAAATAGAGTCGGAGGGACTAGACTGTGACTATGCTCTGCTGCTCTCCAAAGAGGAAGCGGACCACATGTTTAAACAGCTGGAGGAGGAGGTGGTGTACTCAACAGGTACATCAAACCTTCTTCTGTAAAGCTATGACCGGACGTGGCAGAGCTGTTGATTGATCGTGGCTGTTTTTGTTCTAGGGGAAAAAGCAAAGGTCCGAGTGTTTGGAAAGGTGCACAGTATACCGAGACAGCAGGCCACATATGGAGATGCAGGTCTGACCTACACTTATTCTGGAGTGACACGTTTAGCCTGCCCGTGGACTCCAACCTTGGAACATATTCGGGACGTTGTCACGAAAACAACTGGACAAACATTTAACTTTGTTCTGGTTAACAGGTGAGGAAATTCCTGAATCCAAGTTTGAAGATCACAGTTTGAGACTTGTCTCCTTGCTGAAAGTGGTCTTCTCTCCACCAGGTACAAAGATGGGCAGGATCACATGGGGGAGCACCGCGATGACGAGAAGGAGCTGGACCCCCTCTGCCCCATCGCCTCCGTCTCTCTGGGAGCGGCACGAGACTTCATCTTTCGGCACAGAGACGCTCGGGGGAAGCGTAGTCGGCGACAAATCGACCCTGTGAAGCTGGAGCTCGCTCACGGAAGCTTGCTCCTCATGAACTCACCGACCAACACTTTCTGGTACCACAGCCTCCCTGTCCGCAAGAAGATCTCCCTGCCTCGCATCAACCTCACCTTCAGACGCATCCTACTGGACAGAAAGAAATGACCAAGCGGGCATGATCACCCAGGCCTTTGGGGCCAGTGCCCAAGAGGCCTTTTGACTGTGGGGCCCACATTTTGGATGAAAAAGAGGACAAACCTGTTAGTGTCCCTGGGCACATGGATAAATATCATAAATGTGTTTATGTATAGCTGAATCGCTGAAAATCAGGAGCATTTACTCCTTTAAATGATGTATAGTACTTATTATTGTACAGTACTTATTATTGTGCAAAAAAATGTACCTTCTATCTCTACAATGTTTTGTCTGAAAACCCTCAGTAAAGGCTGCATGCTTCACCGTCTTACAGAGATTCAGTGTTTGGGTCAAGAACACTTCAGGAAGTCTGTTTGATCTTGAGCATGTCTGCTGTCACACTATCGTTTCAAAAGTACCAAATAATTACTCTTGCTCTAGTTAGCTTTAATTTTTAATACCTGAAAACAATCACCTTCACAGATTGCACAAAAAATACACACAATCTCACATGAATATACATTAGTGCAAATCGCAAACATTAATGGGTTTTGCACCCGGCCATTCCTCAATTTGACTTAGTTGGTTTGGAGCGATGGCAGCTACACAGAATACAAAATATTCAGAAGAACTTGCCCAAAAACCTGCAGTCACCCTGTGGCTTTATTTACTGAGAGCTGATCATCGCTAATAATCTGTTGAACTGTTGCACATCAACACCATTACAAATGGCTCTGATGCATCATATCAGTTGTCGCACACGCGGCTTCATGTGTTAAAAAAAATCTTGATCATTAAATATAACATGGCACTTTAACCTCAAGTCTGCACATCACGACAGCGTGAGGACTATTGGCCTCTTGAAACATTAATGCCAATAGTGTCACAAACACTGCTGCTGATGATTCAGCAAATTAGATATGAGAGAACCAGAGGGAGGGACAAGTCTATCCATTTGACTTCATAACATGTAACGGCTCCAAGAATTCCTAATCGGCTACTTCTGTGTATGTCTGTAATGTACAGGCAGTGGACAAAATAACAGGAACACCTTAAAGTATATTGCGTTTAAATTTAACACCAACATCTACAGCATCATGAAAATGCCACAGAAAGGTATGTGTGGCATGAACAATGTATTGCAGGGCTAGAGAGCACACTGCAGTGTTAAGTGTTCCTGTTTTTTTGTCCCATTGAAGCCAAATTGTCGCATGACAGAAATTGTTACACTTGTCAAAGAAAAGTAGTTTAGATGATCAAAGATATTTGACTAAAAATCTTGCAGGTCCATAATCTTTGGGATCGAGCGTCCTCTACTCTGGATCAGAGCAGCAGGCAAAGTGGATTTAATACATCGTTCAATGACCTCCAACACGTTGCTGTGACGCAAAGTTATCTTTACAGAAACTCAAGGATGGATTTCTCATCGTCACAAAGTCCAAATCCACCTGTTGGTAACCGTGTTGTAACACATACAGCTGTGACAGTTTGACTGGAAAAGGCAGAAGTCAGTCGGGCTGCTGAGCTTCGGGTCACTCCTCCAAGTGCAGCGCCAGGTTCAGTCTTCGGACTCTCTCGTAGAAGAGCAGGTAGGCGTTGGAAGACAGCACCTCGTGCTGGCTGGCTTTTCGTACCGAGTCGTCTGACACCCAAAGCCACTGGGAGCTGATGGGCGAAGAGGTGCGAGGTGAGGGAGGGCTGCGGCGGTACGTGACGAAATGTCCCGAGTGCATGTCACCGTGGTGAACCAGCACAGCCGTGAGCTGGAACAAGTACTCGGTAGGACTGGAAGGAAAGACGCTAGGATTAGATGTACAGGTGGTGCCAAATAAAGGAAAAAAACACATGTTTTTAAACTCTGAACGGCTTGGATGACCACCAAAACACTGATAGCTTGATTCACACGAGTTCCCTGTATTGGTGCACCTTGGCATGACGTTTACCTGTAGTCATATGTGAGGTTCACACCAGGAGACTGAAGAAATACAGATGAACATGTTCCGTTGGTAAAAGGTTTGTTGTTGTTGTACCGATGCTCTGCTTCTGGGAAACAAAATGAAACAAATGTACGACGACAAAAAACAAACTGAACGTGACCCAGGAATGGTATGACGGAGTTTACGACACATACCGGTGCCATTAGCAGACAGCTTTTCCACGGAACCATCCGAATTTTCAGCCTTTATGGGGTTCGGAGCACATTTGATTCGCTGACTTCTGTGCGTGGAAGCATTGTGTTTGTAGCGGTCCATCCAGAGATGCTCTGTGAACTGCACATGCTCCTGTCTTTTGATGGGGGTTCCTTCACTGGACCACGTCAGTCTTTGTAAATGGATGCAGAGGCACTGGGGGAGCTAGAAGGAGGAGGAAAATACAGTAGATAACATCGTATAACGTCTCATCAAGAAATAAGGGGACGTTTTGATCTACCTAAAATGTTACCATTACGTTTCTCTCCCTAAATTAGACACAAACAAGCTTTAGCAGAGTACCTATTGTCTACGTAGTGATTAACATCTTGGGAAATGAATAATCTGCTAATAGTGACATAACAAGTGACGCTTACCTTTCCCAGTTTGAGCTGTTTAATGAACGTCGTCCTCTGGCTTTCCAGAACTTGCCCGTTTACTGGGTTCCCTTGTTGAAGCTGAGGTGAAATGATCCCAAACAGAAATGAAACAAAATCTGCCAAATAGTGTCTTTGTAATAAAACACGAACACCTTTCTGGTGTCAAATATTTGAAGTCACATGAATGTGAATGTAAGCAACTTGATGATAGTTCTGTCACAAGGGTTTCCCGTCTATTGGTTTTGGTGACTTACATATTTAATAAAAGATGACACTGCAGTGAACTTACCTTGGTGCAGTTTTCACACTCCACGTCTTTGATGGTTTCAGAGGAGATGAAATGCTGAAGACACTGGTCTAGAGAGATAAGTCTCCCCTGAGGAAACAACAATGTATATTAAGAAGTGATAGTATAATACATTTTAATATTCACATGTTCGTGACAGTTTTGCTTACCCACTGAGGTAAAGGGATGGACAGGGAGAGGCTCTCAAATGAGTCATACCGCACCGGACTCTAAACAAAAGCAAGAGGTTAAAATCACCTCGAAAGAATGTTAAGTCAAACGACACAAACTGGCTTTGCTCATCACTTTCCCGTCAACAACAACAACAACAACAACATACAAACTCACTTGCTGTTCGCAGCGCTTGCATGACATATTGCTTGTTAAACGACCATGAAAAGGATGCCGAGACTTCCAAGGACTTGGTATGGGATGAAGAGGGGCTGCGAAATGAAAAAGTAATACAGATGAAATATAATCCTTTGCGCTTTGATAATCTAGGCAACATCGTTTCTTTGTCTCCTTACCTCGACTTCTGCAGGTCATAGCTTTCTCAACTTGATCAGGGATGCTCTGGTATAAAACAAACAGAATAACTGTGAGTACAGTAAGAAATTTGTAATTTTTGACACTTCTACAACACTGGCTAAAGTTCCCATACTGAAATTGATTTGACTTTAAAAGATGTAGTGAGCAGAGTTTGGGTTAAAATGGTGCAAAAACTTCCCTCCACATTGCACGTGTGCTCCAAAGCGCTGACCTGAACTACAGAGCATGATGAAGTTGTCGGCATGCAAGACATATTTGTGAGCTGTTTGAGAAACAATGCAACTGGGGAGTTGGTAACTTGCCTCGAGGGACTGCATGTCAAACAAGTGAGCGACTTTGGGTTGACGATCCCGCTCCTCCTCCAGAGAAGATGTAAGGACATGAAAAAGTTCATGTGCATCCTGAGAGCGGAGAAACCAACACAGTCAAGACAACTTGGAAGACTTAAAATTCCAGCAAACATTATAGAAACAAACACAAAATACTACTTCACAGGATTATTGACTAACCTGCTCCTCAAATGAACTGATGTGCCACCGGTAGAGTCTGAGAACATCCAGGAGGCACCCGGCATCGAGTACATCTTCCTCCGCAGGCTGATCACTGGACAGAGCTACCAGTGCAGAAACAGACATCGTCCTTTTTAAAAATAAGAATGAACACTGCATCTCCACTGCGCTCGAGTGACTTATCACAGTGTTGTATACCATTGAGAAGCTGAAGCAGGGTCGTGGACAGCTGGTTGTCCTTGCATGACTGGATCATCGGGGAACCTGAAAACTTCTCCAGCCACCTGATGAAGGACGGACATGCTGCCAAACCCTGAAGCAACGAGTTCAGGAAGCAGGTGTTGCCGAGATTCAACAGACCAGGAACCATACCTAGAAGAAAACACGAGTCATTGTAAGTTACCGCTTTACATACATTGTGTGTATCACACTGTCGTACTGATTCTTACCTCTCTTTTTCTTCTTTCGCTCTGTAATTGGGCCCCACAACACGTATACTCCAGCTGCAATCGCAGCAGCTATTCCACCAATGACACCCCAGTTTTTTATCATCTTGTTTCTGAAAAGACAACTGCATGTTAATGAAGCACAACGGATGACTTTGATGGAAGAGGAGTGAAAAAAACACACTTTGGGTAAAAACAGCAGGAGACATAATGGTGGTTGGTAAATATACGCTTTCATACATCACTTGTGTTGATGACAATACAATAATGATACTGATGTGTTGTTGTTTATTCACAGTGCCCTACAGCCGTATCTGGGTTGATCTATGCCAGTAATACCAACATGGTAAGAAAAGCCTGCAGCGGAAGATGGCTATGGTTCATGTCAAAGACAAATTCCTTCCGTCAACATTTCATAGATCTTTAATTGACAAAATTCTTTCTTTTATATGTCTGAATGCTTCCCCGACTCTCAAACAGAACATGTGTACTTACTAAGATGGTCACGGTCTGCAGCAAAATACTCAAAGTACTCAACAGAAAAGTAATTTGTACGACAAAATATAGCTAAATACATCAGAGTCTATTCTGTGTAACATCACAGCTTCAGACCTGGCCTTCAAGTTCAACTTTTAGGGTCCTGTTTGCCAAAATCAATACTTTTAAAAACTCTTTCACACCTACTGCTGCCTTCTCTGAGAGGTGTTGATGCAACATTTAGGTCATGTAGGAGGCCGTAGTTTTGGGTGATGTTGAATGTGTTATACTGAGATTTGATTCTACCTTCATGGATATAAATGTTGTGGACAAAATGTCAGCTCCACCCCTCAATATAATGCAGTACAATTCAACGGCACAACACCACCAGTCAACATCTCTCTGAAACAGTTTCTACAACAACTGAACATTGAAAGCTGAATAATAGTACGATTTGTTGCAGGGCTGTTGTATTAGACCACATTAGTTTCAGCTCAGTGTACCTAAAACACTGGCTACTGAGTATACATTGTGTTTTGTAGCTTTGTATTGTTACCTCGCTGTCTGATTTCATCAACAGACGAAGCAGTGGCTTCCTCAGTGAAGTGTATAGTAGGAGGGTTGTTCACAGGTTTGGGGCTTTTAGGGAACACTTATCATTACGTTGTCTTTTTCTGTCTATCATTATTACATACTCTCTACCCTTAAGACACAGGCAGAACAATACGTAACGTAATGCAAACTAAATGCATGAATAATGTGATCCATTAACCTTTGAGCTGTTTATCTGTGGTAAAACCAGACATGACGCCACTTCAGACCAAACAAAGCCTCTTCTAACTCAGCCTCGTCTGCGAGCATCACAGTACTTAAGCTTGACATGCTATTTATTTTGTTAGTTACATTATGTTGCAGCCTCTGCACAACATTATCTAGTAAGTAACGATACTAACCACCCGCACTTCATCAACGTGTAACGTTAACCACGAACCCGCTAACACCAACTACACGCATTAATTACAAGCGCTAGCTAGCTTTAGCGTGTAGGCTAACTTACCGACAACACCGAGGTTAGGCTGCCCTCGGCGCACTATGTCGCCTCATTTTATAAATATCCTGTTATCTTGAAATACAGGTAACATTTATCATTGCTCCGAATCTGCGTTAGCAGGTTTTGTAGCGTTAACTATAACGTTAAACCGGACTCAGTGTCCATTTGTTCTCCTTGTCTGCGCATGTTACACTTTGGGTCCACCGTACGACGTCATGACCCACTTTACCCCTGACCCCGTGCACTATAAATAACCTTAAGTTGTCTTTTGCCAGCGGAGAGGTTTTACCTGACTATGGGTCCAGTGCCAAGGAACTCTCCAACAAGCTTATCGGAGCTTTCTGGTCGGCACCACAACATCCTGCTTTCATTGCGGAACTCCCGTCTTTGGTGGCATGTTGCAGGACGGACCAAGTGGAGAGCGTACCGATGTGTTCACAGTTTACATTCCGACCACCAAAATGTTTGTTGCGCACATTTCTGAAGTCATGTGAATTATGCACAGCTACAGCCTTGTCAATTGAATATGTGACAAAGTTGAATTAAAAATTAACATGAATTGTTCCCAAAACATTTTTTTTTTTTAAGAAATAATTACAGCAACTATACATGTTCAAAGATAATATTCAGATCATTCAAATGCACAATACAAAACATACTGTATATTGTAAGTCACAGTTGCTTAAATCCCATCAGAATTATACATCATGTTGTTTGTGTTTATTATTTATTGTCTAGTCTGTTGTTGTTTTTTATTAAGCTTACATTATACATCTCATCTTCCTTGTGATTATTCTCATCATCTGGGCCCAGCTTTGCATATTGCTGCTTTAGGATTCATCAAGTCCATGTGAGTGTTGATAAGTCATGTGGAGGACCACAGCAATTATACATTCATATAGTGTCCGATCCTCCTGAGCTCGTCCAATCCACTCCCCCTCTCTGTGTGTCTCGTGCTGTGACTCGCGCAGGACGGTTTCTCATTGGCTGCCGGCGGACACTCGGAGCAGGTAGCTCTCCTTGGTGCTGAAATCGCTGTTCGTCGTGGTAATGTAAACGGCGATGAGACCAAACGGAGCGCCAGCCAGTAAACACCAAAATGGACGATGATCTGTTCCAACTGAGACAGCTGCCGTGAGTAAACTTGCAATCTGCACATCACCGCCTATTTTGTTTTATTCAGTCCATTGTCAGCCGTGATAACATGTTCGACCGACGCGTCGTCCTCTGACAGCCTCGCTTCGTGCAGCCTCTGCTTGGTTAGCTCTCTGGACCACAAATAGCTTGACATTCCTTAAAAGCGTCAGTCATTCAATAACAGCATCACTCAGGGTAATACCTGGAAATGTTCATACATTAAGGGAATAATAAAAACAACTTAGCATCAGACACAGTTTGTTTACAATCGAAAGCTATTGCGTTTTCCCAAGGAGACTATTTTGGTTTTATTTATTTATAGGTTTGAAAGCAGGTTTGCTGTGATTTCTAAGCTGATTCAGTTTTCTGTCTGAACTTGTAACTGTGTTTGCTGTCATGACTCAGTGCCTAGCGTGATTCATTTCAACCTCTGCTGTACATACATTAATCTAAAGGTTGCCCCATTCCAGTCCATAGCTTGGCCGTCATGAGGGACATTTCTCAAAGACATACAGTAAAATAACAATATATACAGCCCAGTCTTCTTACAAGAATGACTTAAAAAGTAATAATGCGCAGAATTTCTAAATTAAATAGTATGCTAGTCAAAGAAAAGACATATTTTTGTCAGGGTTTTTTACAGTTACATTTCTGGACATCTGATAGACTCATCTGCATCACTAATACTTCCCATTGCAAGTCTATAATTACAGTGATTAAGACATCACTGGCACTCTCAGAGTTCTCTTATAGTGTTTCAGTCTTAATGAACCATTATTATCTACATGTGGGAGAAGATTATACCTTCCATCTGTAGACAACAGTCATATCTCTGGGTATTTAGGCTTTCTAAGCTCGCCAAGCAGTAAAGTGCAGTTTGTGCGGGGCTGTCAGTTGTCCTTACATGTTTCCCCCATAGGACGATATTAACACCCATTTACAAAATCACAGCCAGAAAAAAGATCACCTAGGCAACTAGCCTCTGACTCTTATTTCTGTACTGGAGCTAGTCCTCTGAAACTCCCCTGACCAGACACAATGTGGAGAAGTTAATCCTCCTGGGCTTTTAAAACACTTATTCTAATTGTTTTTTTGTTTGTTTTTGCAGTATCATCCGATTCCGTCGCACAGGTGAGAGCACACGCTCTGAGGATGATGGCGAGAATAGAGAACAGGTTATCAGGATTGCAGAGCAGACTGTACTGGAGTCTGTGGCACTTGCAGACGGAGCTCCAGTTCCTCGGGAGTTTGCCAATCCAACTGATGGTACAGTATGACAGGGCTTTATTTTACACACCCTGTCTTTCATGATAAACTCCTACTCACCTCCACAACATCGGTAAATATCGACACTCAGTGGATTCAACCTCACCCGTATAACTTTAGTTCCTTGTAGTTGCTCTTCACTGTTCAGAGAAGGTTTGCGTCTACTAAATTCTTGAATACCGCTTTGAATATTTTCTCATTCCCTCAGACACATTCATGGTAGAAGATGCCGTAGAGGCCATCGGCTTTGGGACATTTCAGTTGAAACTCTCCATCCTCACTGGGCTGGCCTGGGTGAGAACTGCTCTTTGCGGAAAATACACTATTTCCGATACTGTGTGAGTGTGTGCATGCTATAGAATGTGTCTCTGAGTTGTTTTCTGTTTGCTCAGATGGCTGATGCTATGGAGATGATGATCCTCAGCATCTTAGCCCCACAGCTTCACTGTGAATGGAGGCTGCCCAGCCTCGAGGTGGCCCTGCTTACATCGGTAATGACTCTAATGTCTGTAAAGTGCTCTTACTTTGCAGTGCTGTATGACTGTCCTGATAGTTATTGGTAAAGTGCTTCGGGATTGTTTGTTTTGAGCAGTGACAACCATGTGGAAAACAGTTGGGTGTCTAATTAAATACTGTGTGGGTTGCATAGACAGGCCTTACATGGTGGACATTTTTAATTGAGATGTAATTAATGTAATTTTCATGAGAAGATAATCATAAAAAAAAAACAGATTCAGTGACTTTTAGTGGCTCACACCAAAACAAAAAGCTGCAGTCCTGTCTACACTTTAAAAACATGCATGACAGGATGTGCATTATATCAGCTATGTCTTGTGGAACTATAGTCATGTGCACATTTAAACTGCTGCAATCCAATTAAAACATTTTTTTTATTGGTGCAGGCAGTGTTTATTGGGATGATGGTCAGCTCTTCTCTTTGGGGAAACATAGCTGACAGATACGGCAGAAAGACAGTAAGTTATAATAAAGCCTCTGTTGTACAAGTGTGGTGATATATATTTTGTTTCCCATAAGACACATTTGATCTACTTTAGAGACACTGCAAGTTCAACTTTTCTGAATGAAGAGCCTTATCAGATCACCACCATAATGTATCCAGCAGCTAAGTTTTGGTTGTGTGCACACACAGTGTCTCAAGCTGAGTGTGCTGTGGACTATGTTCTATGGCGTGCTGAGTGCATTTGCACCTATTTATGGTTGGATCCTCGTCCTCCGTGCACTGGTGGGCTTTGGCATCGGAGGAGCCCCACAGTCGTGAGTTTCCCTCATTCATCTCTCTAAAAACGAAGCGTTAATAATTAATGATGTGAGTTTAGATTAACTGTGAAATGTGCCTCCTTATAAGGGTGACACTGTATTCTGAGTTTCTGCCGATGAAGTCCAGAGCTACGTGCATCCTGCTGATTGAGGTATGAACTGCCCTTATCAGTCATCCATCTAGCCATAGTGTTAATGGTGCGGACATGGCAAAACATGCAACCAGAACTGCACAGCTCTGAAATGCTCTGTTTTTCTAGCAGGATTTTACATTATTTTGACTTTGCCTTGTAGATATTTTGGGCACTGGGCACTGTGTTTGAGGTCCTCCTGGCCATCCTGGTGATGCCCACTCTAGGCTGGCGTTGGCTGCTCGGCCTTTCCACCATTCCTCTCTTCCTCTTCTCCCTCCTGTGTTTTGTGAGTATGATGTTATCGGTCTTGAGACATTCTGCAATATGTAAGCAGAACAAATGACAGCTTAATCAATCGACACGTCTCTTTTTCGGTGGTGTGGGAACAGTGGCTACCAGAGAGTGCTCGATACGACGTGCTGACAGGGAACCAGGAAAAAGCTCTGGCCACATTGAAGCGCATCGCTACAGAGAACGGAGCACCCATGCCACTGGGAAAACTTATTGCTGACAGACAGGTGAAAGAGAGTTTCTGCAAAACATAAAATTCACTGAATGTTATTAATGTATATGCTCCCTATTATGTTTCTTTTATCTGTTCTTTTAATTAGGAGGAACGAGGAAAGATTCAAGATTTATTTTCATCAGACTTTCGCTGGACCACAGTTCTGCTGTGGTTTATTTGGTAAATGGAGTGAATGATAATGCCACCCACTCACATCCTGAGTCATTACTCACTGATTTCCTTTTTGTTCTTATTCTCCAAAATGAAATGTTCTCCAAGTGCAGAGACATATTCATCAATGTTTTATTTGAAGTTTCTCACATCACGTGACCCACCATTGATTCATCCTGTTTGTTTCTCTCCTCAGGTTCGCAAATGCCTTCTCTTACTATGGGCTGGTGCTGCTCACTACAGAGCTGTTTCAGGAGGAAGGTACATGTGGAAGTGAGTCACTGCTCCGACACCGACAGATGTCTTCACACATTCAAGGACACGCACACACATATTAATTTGCTACACTGATAAGAGAGACTTTGTAGTTCAGTGACTTGTGTGTTGAACCAGGAGATCAGTGTATGGCAGATCAGACATTTATACATGTGCTAGCAGGAACAGCACAGCTATAAGAGATAGCATTAAGAACAGAGGCTACTGTAACACGTGAAGGAACAGAGCCATCGTTAATGTCATTAGTTACACCTGTGCTTTTCCTACTATGCCAGGCCTGAATGTCTGCCATGAAAAAGATCTCCACACTTGTACAGTATGCTTTTGCAACATCACAGATCAAAGCCTGTGCTGGGTGTGTACTATCCTGTTTTCTGTTGTTTTATACCTCCCTCTAGTGTCCAAAGGTAGCAAGAGGGAGCTGCGATGCAACTTGGAGTGTAAATATCTGAACTCTGACGACTACAAAGACCTGTTGTGGACCACCTTATCTGAATTCCCAGGTACACATAAGTTAATTGTCTTCACTGATTTTATTTTATTTTTTGTAAATTTATTCTAGTTACAGTGGCATGTTTTTCCACTGTACGATAATTACTTTATATTTACCATAGCTTACAAGTAAATCATCATCATAATAATGTTAATAGAGTGTTCTCATGGAGGACACTTTGGCAAGGAGTTAATCATAACATTAATGATGGCCCCATTCCATTTAGGTGTGCCAGGGCCCTGCTGTCATGCCGGCTAACTGACAAAACTACTGGCTTACCTAAAGAGAATGGAGCCATCATTAACATTATTAGCTACTACACCTCTGCTTTTCCTGCGATGACGTGTCAAAATGTCATGGTAATAATAAGTGAACGCATTATATGTATAATTACTCCACTGTAAAATAAAGAGCAAGTCAGCATATTATTTTCTACAAACATTGAATTTTGCATTGTCACATAGGACTGCTGGTGACACTGTGGGCTATTGATCGATTGGGGAGGAGGAAGACCATGGCGTTGTGTTTCTTTGTCTTCTCTATGTGCATCATCCCACTCTATGGCTGCGTTGGCAGGTGAGGTGGACACTGAGGAGAATGTTAAACATGACATTGTGGGACCACCATTTATCCAGCGTAACTGGTTTCTCTGTTGCAGAGTACCCATGACAGTGTTGATATTCGTCGCCAGAGCTTTCATCGCAGGAGGATTCCAGGCTGCTTATGTGTACACTCCTGAGGTAAGATATCTAACCAGAGCTGCCAGCTGTTTGTTTTTTTGCTTGTTTTGAGTAAAATTCATACAGTGACTATAGTAGCGCTCAGATCCAATCAATAGCTGGGTAAATGGAACATCAGGGCAGCCTACTCATTGTTCTCTGAACATCTGCAGGTGTACCCAACAGCGACCAGGGCTTTAGGTCTGGGAATGAGCAGTGGAATGGCCAGAGTCGGTGCCCTCATTACACCTTTTGTAGCACAGGTAACACCGCTCTGTAAGTTTTGCCATTTTAACACATCACAACCCAAGAAAGTTGCTCATTTTTTTTGGGACCCTGGGTTTCATCCTGCAGGTGATGTTGGAGTCATCTGTTTACCTGGCTCTTTCCGTGTACTGCTGCTGCTGCCTCGTTGCCGCCTTTGCCTGTTGCGCACTGCCAATTGAGACAACAGGCCGGGGCCTGCAGGAGGCCAGCCACCGCGAGTGGGGCCAGGAGATGGTGGGCCGGGCCCCCTCCCAAAACTCAGAGGGAATCCTCCCCTCCGACTCTGTTTCCCAGGGCTGAGGACATGTCGGCAGGAGTACAACTGAGATTGGTGACCACAGTGAGGAAAAGACGCGAGGAGAGGCAAAAAAAAAAAAGCGCATCCAGCTTCGGTGTCCATCTCCAGTCCCATCCTGTGACTTCAGTTTAGGCACCACAGGGGCTTCAGAAATCCAGGCAGCACACTATTATACATCATATTATATCATCTTCAACCACCATTGCTGTCACAGTTTTGCCACTGAATAACTGCCCGTGGGTCAACTGGAAAGACCAAATGACCATCACACGTGCAAGATTGAGAAAATATATATGGTGAACATGTGAAACATTTATGGTCAAGTGACAATTCAAATACTTGAAGCAAAGTATTTTTTATCCTTCTTTTCTAATGCAAAAGAAGAAAAGGAGAATAAAGTGGGTTTAAGTGTTAGCTTCAAAGCTTCTCTTCAAAGAGCCTTAAAACTACCGATTCAGTTTGTGTTTGAGAGAACTTCTCTTAACCCTTTGAAAAAGCTGTGTCTGTTAGCATAGTGGACATAAATACGCAAATAAGAAAGAGCACCATCTTGTGCACACAAACTTGGCTGTTGAAAAAACACACTTTATTGACGATTCATGTGTGTTAAGGCAGTGAAAGGACAGACTGCACAGAGAGTCAGTGTTGAACCCTGTGTTAGTATTATTTCACATTTCAACATTGATGATAATTGTTTTCTGCTAAAAAAAACAAACAAGGATCATTATGAAGCAGTTTTATTCACAACATGACAAATCTGCCGAAGCCTTCATCAGAGCATAATAATCATACAGCCGACAATATTTCATAATTATAGCACAACTGGAACGAGTCCACATTTGAAGACAACATTAATTACATTAACGTTGACGTATTAGTAAATTCAAAGCAGATTCAACCTAGTTAGCAAGTGTTTAATGATTTTTAAAAAATGACACTAACACAAGTATTTGGTGTTACGATCTCGACTCTACCAGACTTTGAGGCTGTGCACACATTGACCTACACGTACATAGTATACACAACCCCTTAACAGGATGTTACATTCTGTCTTTCTCATCTTGTAAATAATGTATCAATACCTGGTTTAGTTGTTGTCTTAGCTTTTGTATGTAACAAAGGTGATGTGGAGACAGACTTTGCCCAGTCTGAGTGACACACTGAGCAAAGTTTTGTTAAAAAAAAAAAAAAAGAGAGAGAGATTCAAGAATTCAGGTTCGGCAAGCCGACTCTTTACCTGCCAGTGTTTGATATATAGAGCTGCATTAAGTGTCTGTCTGCACAGATTATTGTGAATGCACTGGATGTAAATGTGTATGATATTATCGTAAATAATCTTTCAAAAAGAGCAGTAGATTCATGTTGTTATTTATTACTAAACAGTGGGATTATATCAGGTGATTATATAAATTATAATCATTATCAGGAAGTTTGTCTACTTTTTCTTCATTTACTGAGAACATTTTCAAAGATTTGTACACTTGTTTTAATTACCAAAACCTTCTACAAATTTAACTATTATTTTGTTCCTTGTGAATGAGCCATCTGTTAATTAATAATGGACGTGAGTAGTGTCTCCTCTTTCAAGTTACAAACATTGTTTTAAAGTGATGTAATCAACCCAATATATGTTTGCTCTGAATGTTAGTTACAAACAAGAGCAGTTTGTGCAGTATGGGATACAAGGCACTGACATTGAAATTTAAAAAAGAAGTGCACCCATCACTACAAATTTACAATCGAGCTTTTGGACCTTTGCCCTTTTGTTCCACGATCTGACCGAAGAGCCTCGCTGCCTCCTGGGCGCAGCCTCGGTGAATGGTGAGACCAAAACCTCCATGGCCGTAGTTGTGTATCACCTGAATGAGAGCCACGATATTTTAGAAGTTGAATGACTGAAAATTCCTTTTTAAAGTACTGCTGGGCTGTTAAAGTTTACCTCTACTGCAGTTGCACCAGACTGGATGGTCTCCCTCTCCAGTCGGACTTTGCTGCGAACAGGTCTGAGGCCGGCCCAGTCCCCCACTATCCTGGCATGCTGAAGGTAGCAACAACAAGACATAAATCTTTCTCAAGCCTGAAACTTTGCTGAAGAATCAAGTTCACCAACATGCTTGAGGACAGAATTACACTATAAGTATTGTAAAAAACATCAAATGCAAAATGTTAAATACTTAAGCACTACAGAAGACTCATTGTAAATCATTTATTACAGTTGACACAAATAGTCTTTATATGGGCTCTTAGACAAATACTTAATCTCACCTTGAGACTAGGCTCGAGCTGACAAGCGCCTTCCCAGATTGTTTTATGGTCAGTGGAGTTGTTCTGCTCACTCCAGTTTCCTAACTGGAAAATCCCTCCGACTGACACGAGGCGACTCCTGCAGACACAGAAAAACTTTGTCTTTCTGACTCATAAAAACACTGTCATCTCATTCAAAATCTTCTGACAGAAAACAACACTGTGGTCAACACAGCACAGCCACTGCAACCTTTGCTGGCAAGATTCAATATGTGTATGATACTGTAAATCCACAGCACTCCTGTCCGTCACTACAAACTTTACAGGAGACGTTTGCTCCTAAATGATGTGGATCTGAATCATGAGTGGTTTGTGTCACCAGAACTACCCTGGAATGATGTATGATGAATTGTAGACTCCTTTAAAATTGTGGGTAAGAATCCAATGCTTCAGCCACGGAGCATCCACCTGAAAAACAAAGAATAACCAGATACAACCACTGTTCCCATGGTGCCTTTATAGCTGGTTATATAATCATTCTCACCTTTACTATCTGACCACGGCCTGGTTTCAGCTCAGGGTCCGGCTGAAGTTGTCCTGATCTCACCCCAGTGCAGTTTATTACCACATCTGCCCCACTTTCTGCCAGCTAAATACAGGGAAGCACGACAAGAGATAACAAATACGACAAGCAATAAAACATGTTTGGAGAACAGCCTGGCTATTATGATATAACAGATGAAAAGCAATCCTAAAACTTTAAATAATATAGAATAAACTATGCAACTATAATATTGAAAAGCTTTCACTAACCTCCTTGAAGGACTCTATTTTCCTGTGATAAAATTTCACACCCCTTTTTTGCAACCTGAGAATAACACAAAACCAGATGTTTATTATGAGCACTTGAAAACGACTCCTGAAAAATACACTTTTTACTCTTCTGTAAAACTAAAACTAGACAACATTAAACTGAACCAGTATTCTCAACAACATCTGGTGGTCATTTACATCTACACGGAATATAGGGAATTGTGTGTTGAGGACAGTTTGTTAGATGGAAACATTTACATTCCCATGCCGCAGCTGTCTAAATCAGCATTAGTTCCCCGGCCTGCACAATACATGGAAGTAGTTTTCTCTCAGTGACCACTGATTAAACACTACTTTTTACTTTGCACTGTGGGATTATTTTAGTTTTCTAGTATACATATTAGACAACACGACAAAAAATGGACAGAGACGACATGTTGAACATTTAAGTATCATTTCTTTGGCCCGTGAGGGGAAGTTAGGAACTGAAAATATAGAACAAGCGATAAGGTGCTTCTTTTTATCTTATTACTGCGTAATAAATTGTGTATCAAACAGCTACAGCTACACCTATAAGGTCAACTCAGGTCTTGACTCACCAATCCATCAGCCAAGGTAAGTATGCTTTACCTTCCACCATGAGAGCAGTGTTGAACCAGCCATAACTGGACATATTAGAAGAGACAGTCAGATCATCTATCCATGAAAAATGTTTTATCTTTTATTGGGAACCATGCAATAATGTGTTTAGTATGATAAAAACAAAGACATTTTCTAAACATCACTGATATGCTTGGACTGCAAAAAAATGAGCATTTAACAGTTTCTTTCTCTCTTTCTAAGCATTTATTACCTGAAATGTTGCAGATGTAAACAAAATGTTAAGAATGTTCCTTTTGGTTTTGTGTACGCGTCATTAAAAGATGTCTTGCTGTTCTCTTGATGTTTGTTATACGCCAGTGTATTGCAATCAAACGTGGGAAGGGTAAAATGTTTGGCATGACATGGAAACAGATAACTAACTCTATGCAGCCCTGCTTTATGTTCAGTGTTTTGTTTTCAAGGCAGTTTCAGCCGGAAACCTACTTGTATCCGGGGAACAGCTTCAGCTCTAGTTCTGTGAGCTGTCTGAAGCCCAGGACAATATCTTTAAATGAGGGATCCTGCAAACAAAAACGAGTCGAGATATTATCATTCATGTCCTAAACGTGTCCTGGCTGTATTAGTTTGCTGTCACAATGGAGAATCCCAATCCTTGGGGAGGCCTTTCTCTTATTGTTTTCCAATCACTGCAGACATCCGTCTTTGTGTGACTGAACAAAGTCAGGCTGAACAGGAATGAACTGTGTCTATGGTAGATATTGCACCGGTATGTAATACATTTATGAACTAATTGCATGAGGTTACATTTTAACTAATTGCACAATGCCTTTCCTCTCAGTAAGACTTCTGAAACAAGGTCATATCTTATCTTTGAGGCCAGATTGACCCCAAGAACAATGCACTACTCACTGGGGCTGGTTCAGTGCAGAGGTTGTAGCCAGACTGAAGGAATATACCCATTTGTATGGACTCTGGTGAACTGAGGCAGCTTAGCAAGTAGTCAAATGTCTCTTTATTCCATTTTCTAAAAGTGAGGACAAAATACAACACAAAAATGTTGGCCATTTTTTTACAGATATAGTGGAGAATCAAAAGAGAGATAAGGAGAATACACTTACGTCTCCTGGACGTTGCCCTTATCGTAGAGATATGGCTGCCAGAAGCCAGCAGCTCCATCACTAGTGGTCAGTGGTGTGAAAGTGTCCGCATACACCTCAATGGTCAGAGGACTAATGATGGAGTGATACTGCTCGTAGATGCTCTGCGCTGTTGACAGGCCGATGACTCCAGCTCCAATCACTGCCACCCGCATGTCTGGATTAACATGAGACACAACACGTTTACATATGAGACTCACTCAAATGCATCCTGTATAGGATATAGGATTTAACAGGCCAACATCTTCTAGGAAGGCAATCTAGATCGCTATTGAATTGTATTGCATTCCAATACAATAGAATAGATATGATGAAAAATATTATTTGATTATTATTATTTCATATATCATTAAACCATGCATAATTTAAAATGCATTATTAGTGGTAGTAGTACTAGTATGGAAGTATTAGGTTTAGAAGTTTGCAAAGTCTTGATAACATCAAAATAAATATTTCCTACTGTTACAATCTGTTATACAACTCAATTAGCTAGCAGCTGTTAGGTAACAGAGTCAGGACTTCATCTGAGTAAAACTTTTAAAAACTATACAGCTAATAATAGGACAGTAGAATATTATGTAACTGAGTGAACATGTCGGATAAATAGTTATATAACGAAGCAGCATTTCAGAGCAAATCGCTGACGTGGAAAGATAGTTGTTTAAAATGCAGATATTACCTAGATGATCCTCTCACAACCGAAGCTGTATGATTTCCAAAACTTTTTGCTTCACCTCCAGTCTAGTCGTCGGCCCAGTAGGATCTGGATCAAATCGTGACAGTGGCAGCCAGTAGAGGCGCTTTCTGTTGACTTATGTAAAGTTAGAAAGATATTGACAGATTCGGACTTCCCGGTTCAATAAATCGTTAACGAAACGTTGCTAAAATACAAACGATACCTCCCTGTAACCGTAGTGAGGTAGACAACAAGCTACAACCTTAATTTAATTAAAACGGGCCGTCTTACGGACTCCTCCGAGCTGGACAATCGGCATTGGTCTCAATGAGCGGCCGGCTGCGAGACAGTGCGCAGGGACCGTCTACAAAGTGCAATGCGGAAAATAACCTACTACAACAATATTCAATAGCTTCACTGTCATGCAATGTAGTGTAACCAAAATCACTTCACACATCAATGGGCTCCTCCTTGTTGTACTACAACTGCTATTTTGAAAAAATATGATTTAGATTAATTTTTTGTGAATATTTATTAAAAATAATAATCAATAGCTTTACTGTTGATAGGTGTAGCATGACCAAAATCACTTCATATATCAATGAGCTCCTTCCTGTAGTACTACAACTGTTATTTTAGTTTCACCAGACTTGTAGATGGTTATTTATAAATCAGCTCATGGCTGCCTCATGGCATCTGCCCCTCAACCAATCAAATGATAGATGCCTAGGGTGACTAGGTCACTAACCAATCAGGAGCACCTTTCAATTAAGTTCTACCTGCAGTGATCTTTCAGTTTGTCAGTCTCCAATGCAAACCACGATGGGGAAAGACATCTTTCGATACCTAATGCGTTTGCCACATTTATTTTTCCTTTTTCACAATGTTGTTACAGCATGACAATATATGTGTATATCCTTTGTTGAAGATGAAATGAGTGAACTACTTATGATGGCTCTTATCTTGATGTATGTGGTACTATATTTTTATTCAAGACAAAGAAACAATACAAAACATAGGTTCACAATTGCACTAGTTTATTTATTTTATTTTATTAGTTTATTTGATAAGGGACAGTGCACACTAATAAAAACATTTCTGTAAATGTGCCAGAGTTAGCCAAGAGGCTATTTTTCATCTGTAGTCCCAAGAGGCAGATGTTACAAAATAAACCTAAAAACAGAATGTAAGATTACATTTAAAAGGTTATACAATATTGACGCTTTACAATGCGTGCACAAATAATGAAAAAAGTGAGAATATTAATATACGTAGTATCATCATTCAGGAGACTCTTAAACATTGTCAAGTACTAACAAGACATGCAACACAGAGGCTCTCAAATTCAACACACACAAGCAAATAAAGTAAGAGATAACTACAGGTGCATCTCAGTGAAATAGAATATCATTGAAAAGTTAATTTATTTCAGTAATTCAATTCAAAAAGTGAAACCCATATATTATATAGATTCATTACACACAAGGTGATATATTTCATGCGTTTATTTCTTTTCATTTTGATGATTATGGCGTCCAGCTAATGAAAACCCCAAATTCAGTATCTCACACAATTAGAATATTACATAAGACCAATTCAAAAAAGGATTTTTAATACAGAAATGTTGGTCTACTGAAAAGTATGTCCATGTACAGTATACAGTATGCACTCAACACTTGGTCGGGGCTCCTTTTACATGAATTACTGCATCAATGCGCCGTGGCACGGTGGCAATGAGCCTGTGGCCCTGCTGAGGTGTTATGGAAGCCCAGGTTGCTTTGATAGGGGCCTTCAGCTTGTCTGCATTGTTGGGTCTGATGTCTCTCATCTTCCTCTTGACAATACCCCATAGACTCTCTCTGGGGTTTAGGACAGGCGGGTTTGCTGGCCAATCAAGCACAGTGATACAGTGGTCATCAAACCAGGTATTGGTACTTTTGGCAGTGTGGGCAGGTGCCAAGTCCTGCTGGAAAAGGAAATCAGCATCTCCATAAAGCTTGTCAGTAGAGGGAAGCATGAAGTGCTCTACAATTTCCTGGTAGAAGGCTGTGCTGACTTTGGACTTGATAAAACACAGTGGACCAACACCTGCAGATGACATGGCTCCCCAAATCATCACTGACTGTGGAAACGTCACACTGGACCTCAAGCAACTTGGATTGTGTGCCTCTCCACTCTGCCTCCAGACTCTGGACCTTCATTTCCAAATGAAATGCAAAATTTACTTTCATCTGAAAAGAGGACTTTGGACCACTGAGCAACAGTCCTTTTTCTCCTTAGTCCAGGTAACTTAGCCCAGGTAAAACGTTTCTGACGTTGTCTCTGGTTCAGGAGTGGCTTGACACAAGGAATGCGATAGTTGTAGCCCGAGTCCCGGATACGTCTGTGTGTGGTGGCTCTTGAAGCATTGACTCCAGCCGCAGTCCACTCCTTGTGAATCTCCCCCAAATTCTTGAATGACCTAAACCCCAGAGAGAGTCTATGGGGTATTGTCAAGAGGAAGATGAGAGACATCAGACCCAACAATACAGACGAGCTGAAGGCCGCTATCAAAGCAACCTGGGCTTCCATAACACCTCAGCAGGGCCACAGGCTCATCGCCACCGTGCCACGCCGCATTGATGCAGTAATTCATGTAAAAGGAGCCCCGACCAAGTGTTGAGTGCATACTGTATACTGTATATGGACATACTTTTCAGTAGATCAACATTTCTGTATTAAAAATCCTTTTTTTAATTGGTCTTATGTAATATTCTAATTTTGTGAGATACTGAATTTGGGGTTTTCATTAGCTGGACGCCATAATCATCAAAATGAAAAGAAATAAACGCATGAAATATATCACCCTGTGTGTAATGAATCTATATAATATATGGGTTTCACTTTTTGAATTGAATTACTGAAATAAATTAACTTTTCAATGATATTCTAATTCATTGAGATGCACCTGTATGTTAAATAGAAACGTGCACTAAAGAGAATATTATGCTGCAGTTTTTAGACACTAAAAAACATCCATGTCAGAGGCACAAAACATAAAAGCATGCAGAGTATGTGAAATACATAAATCAGTCAGACACAGCTAAACAACAATAAAAGACAAGCATGCAGGTAGATGAGGGTCGACCGGCAATTTCAAGACAGACAGACGAGGGAAAGTTCAACACGGACAGAGAAGCAGTTACATTCTAGTGCTGACAGAGTTGGGTACTAACTAACCACTTCTTTAATTGAGCTTTAAATTAACTGTATGTTTGTAGTTCTCTAATGGTTACTGGTTTGACCAAATCACTGATACTTTAATGTCACTTGGAATCGTCACCAGAAAGAGAATTTGACAGCACCTGTCAAAAGTGATTTTGGTCACACTACACTATAACAGTAAAGTTATTGAATATTATTTCCAATAAAAATGCACTAAAATTAATCAAAGTCATATTTTTTCAAAATAGCAGTTGTAGTACAACAAGGAGGAGCCCATTGATATATGAAGTGATTTTGGTCATGCTACACTTATCAACAGTAAAGCTATTGATTATTATTTTCAATAAATATTCACTAAAATTAATCTAAATCATATTTTTTCAAAATAGCAGTTGTAGTACAACAAGGAGGAGCCCATTGATGTGTGAAGTGATTTTGGTTACACTACATTGCATGACAGTGAAGCTATTGAATATTGTTGTAGTAGGTATTTTCCGCATTGCACTTTGTAGACGGTCCCTGCGCACTCGTCTCGCAGCCGGCCGCTCATTGAGACCAATGCAGATTGTCCAGCTCGGAGGAGTCCGTAAAACGGCCCGTTTTAATTAAATTAAGGTTGTAGTTTGTTGTCTACCTAACCACGCTTACAAACCACAACCACACAGGTGTTACTGATATAATTAATGAATCCTTGATCTTGATCTAGTGCTGTCCAATGTTCATGTTGGCTCCTCATAAGGTCGTCGTTACAGCTTATCACACAAGCTTTCAATAATAACAATAACATGAATGATGCATGTCATAATGGACAATTAACCTCTGTATGAGTACACTTACAATGCTCGTGCTCATAGGACTGCCTCCAACGATATGACTGTTACTATCACTGCATCCAGTACTACAAGTACAAGTTACACATACAACACCCAGAGTGAAAACACAGATTTCCTGGGACACACATCATGCAATAGTTACACTTTAGGGTTATAATAATAATAATAATAATAATAATAATAATAATAATAATAATAATAATAATAATAATCAGCATTATTATTATTAATTATTATTAAATTATTACTGTTATAATTATTATTACTTTTCTGTGTGTCACTGCGTTCTGTTAAATCAAATTTGGGGGTACTTTTTCATTTTTTTATGTTCATTCTATATCTGGTCTAAATTGTCTTTAAGTTGTTTGAAAAGCCATTTTCAAAGGTTGTATACAAATGGACTTGCATTGTTGTTTTGTTAAGTATTGTCATTTTATTACTATATAGTTTAAAGTGCATTGAGGATGGTCAGGGCCTTGAAGGCAGCACTTCCTGCCCAGACAGCCCAGCCTGCAGGATACGGCTCCTCTCGCTCCATCCATCCGTCCGTCCATCAGCTGTATGTGTCGTTAGCTCCGCAGCTAGCAGCTCACCAGGCCCAGCGGCCGGCCGGTGCATCCACAGCTTCCAGCCATGGCGTTGGTTACTCTGCAGCGGTCCCCGACACCGAGCGCCGCATCCACCGCCAGCACAGCAACCACTACCGCTGGGGAGGTCAGTCTGGTCCTGGGTGAACGAGGAGCGATGCTCCGGTGTGGTGTGAGATGATGTCTGAGGAAGGCCCGCTGATTGAAGCTACATTAGCACCGTTAGTTAACGTGCTAAGCCAGCTCGGTCTCTCGCTAACGGTAGCTAGCAAACGTCTTCGTTAGCTCCCGATTATCACATATTGTCGTCCACCACTGTGCCAATACGGAGGGTGGACGTGACATTTTTAAAAATACGATACAATGATTTAAAAAAAAATTAAAATCCTCACACCTGTTAAATGTGTTAATTGTAAAGAGCTAACTAGCTGAGTGTGACAAGTGCCTTATGAATGATATAAGCTGTAGCTGAAGTTAGCCGGTGGTGATGTGAGTGGCTGACATTCTCTTCAACGTTGATGTATTTAACGTTATATCACAGTCTGTGTGGCACACCATCAGCACCACAGTGACAGGGCACTCACCGAGCTGCTGCAGTCCACACACAGCTACATTCACACTCATTCACTCGTATTACATCTGAGATTGTTATATTTCAGTCTATGTTTGTATTTCAATCAGGCTTGATTGAGCTATACTCTCTTTAGCAGTCAACTACACTGAATATGTATGTCAATCTCCACTGTGCGGTCCTGTTGGTGCCTCCAGTAAATGAGATTTACAGTCTGGTAAACAGACATATAGGGAAGAAAAAGACTAAACTTTAAGGTTTTCTTATACTTCTCTATCACAGTAGAGAGTCACAGCTCGAGCTATTTGTTTTCTGGGAACTCGGCAAGAAAAAGGGATTGTCCTTCCTCAAAACTATAATCATTCAAATATAACTTCCTTACTTTCAAGTACACGTATGTTCTCTTCAGTGCCAGACGAGGGCGCTAACCCCCAGCCCCATGTTCTGCTCTGCATGACCGAATCAGAGGAGTCAGACATGACATAGCTGGGTTTATTTACAACCATCTATGTTTGAGCTGGAGATGACAACAGAATGTAAAAAAACAACAACCGCTCAACATGTTAATGTCATACATAGCTGTTACTTATTGCAAATAGATTGCTCGTTTTAAAGGAGTCAGGTTTGACTGGGTTCTCTGTCCAGCACCGTGGTGAGGTGTGATGGATGAAGCTGCTGCAGCTATGATGTCATCTACTCCTGAGGGCTGCGTGGGGGGGGGGGGCAGCAGCACTACTGTCTGAGGCAGTGAATGCATGAGGTTATTTCAATATGCTAATTTGGATCTGGGCTGATGATTGCCGATATGTTCGACAGGTTGTAGTTTCAGCGGGGAGATCGACATACTTCATTCAAACTCGACAGAAACAAAAATAAAACTCACCAAAACAGTCTTGCTTAGTCTTTTCAACAATCACCGGTTCTGGCAAGCAATGCTTTTGACTTTGTTTGCCCAAGTGTGTGCAGGCTGGTCAGCTGCCTTGCTCGTCAGCCCCCCGTTATATCCTCGGCATGTAATTTGTTGTAGACTGTGCTCTCCTCTGTGCAGCTGTGTTAGCTCATTTCTTAAGTTGAGGACCTTTTCAAGTCATGTCTGCTCCCCCTGCAATTTGCAAGCTCCTCCAGGTGGCGTGGATGCTGTTAAATGCCTATAACACACACACACACACACACACACACACCTGCATTTGCAGTGACTTCACTGGTATTTGCTTGCAGCACCATGTTTGACAGCAGTATGAGAACAGAAGTACAGCAGTGTACTGACAGACTTAGCTTTCCTCTGCTCTCTTTGATGCTGAAGTCAAACTGTACTCTTCTGTGCTACACTCACTGTTTGATAAACATTAGTGAGCCTACTTTCACTACATAGAGCTGTTCACTTGTCTGAGGGTGGGTAATATGTCACTGATATAACACAATTATACAGCTTTCTCTGATCATTTAATGACAAGAGTATTGGTATCTTCCATAACGCACGAGTAGTTTGTTTAGCATTTCAGTCGTGGGTTATCATGTCAATTTCATTTATCAAAGCTTCTGTTTAAATGTCGATCTTGAACTGTTTGTTAATAATACCAAAATAGGTTGGATGTGGTATTTATCCTTTCACTTATCTGTATTGCAGGATTTTGGGAGTGAAGATGAACGGCGAATAAATCAGAGGTAAGTTTACTCTCCGTTTAGTTTGGCCCTTCTGTTGCATGGTACGCGGCGAAGCAAGTCAGACTTTATACGCAGGTGTTGTTGACTGATTGACTGCATCTGTCTTTGAGTCACTTGGTGAAATCCTGAGAGGCGGCAGACTAACTGGCATCAACAGAGGAGGACGACTGAGCGTCAGTGTAGTAAAACACCTGTCTGTCTCGAACTAAAGATGAAATGTTGCACTATGTCATATTTAGACTTTGGTGGCAGACATTTTGGTAGAAACAAATTGATGATGTAAATAGTTAAAGCCCTAGTATGTACGGTTTTGTCAGTTTTCCGTCTCTCTGGGGCAGTTTCAGTGTTATGACATCTATTTCAAAAAGAAAGAATAGGCAATTTTGGCTTTGTAATCACATGATGTTCACCAAGCAATGTTTTTTTTGTTTTTTTGCAGACTTAAAGGTTTCTTTCTTATTGTTATCTTCCAATAAGCATTCATAATGCATGTACTTAGATTAAGCCAGTGACACCCACCAGAGCTATTGTGAGCCCACTGCAGTGAAGTTGTTAACTGAAGAGACACTAGCTTTTGTAAGAGCCTCCATGTCTTTTGATGCCACATATAATATCGCCTTGACAAGACGGTGACAATGATGACAAAGTAGGTCTGTGAATATGCAGTTTGTTGTTTGCTTTTGTTGTATTTGTGATTTCTAAATCTTTATTGCCCAAAAAGTCACTTGAATAATTGTGAAGTGGATGAAAAGCGAAAATGCGTCATTCCAAGAGTTGAATTTCTTTTCAGTTATGCAACAGCCTTTATCCCCAAGCAATGCATGCGTGTTTGAGAATGATCTATGCATGAAGCGGGTCCCGTCTTGCCTCAGCATTGCTTGAGGGACTGGTAAGACACGCTATGCAATGAAATTAGCAGATTAAGTTGTCTGTTAGTTGACTCTTTAGATCAGGGTGTACTGATCTCGTTCAAAAGATAAATAGCTCCATCTGTTGACGGACAGCCGCTCGACTGCCAAGTGGGAGTGTTCGCACTTTCTGTTCCCAACTGGCCTTGATAACGATGTCAAGCCGAAGGGGCTCATGGAGGCCAACATCGTGCAGGTGTCAGTGGCTCTGAACCAAGGAATGATTTCATCTTTCCATCGTGTACACAGCAGAGTTGGGCAATATGTCCAATCGGTGAAACATGTGTGCGTTTGTGAGTAGATGAGGGATTCAGCATGTAGGGTAACACGAAGAATTATTAGCGTGACACATTTAAACTCACCGCAACACTTTCTCACTCAAATAGCATGCTTGTCAAGACTGGTAGTGATTTATTGCCATAATGAGTCAAAGTGCTGCCTCTGGATTTGAGTAAACAATATGTGTGGACAGGAGAAACTGCAGCAGAAGCATCGCGTCTGGGTCTTTATTGTAGGTTGGTCTTTCCTCAGTGACACGATGACGTCATTTGCTTCCTGCTCGGGGCCATTCCGTGTCTCCACTGACACCTGAGGAGGTTCGTCTGTTCCTCCCTCTGTCGCTCCGTGATGTAAGCAAGAGAATGGCAGCGTTATGCAACTGGCAGCTCCAACAGGAGGTGTGTGCAAAACACTCTGAGACCATAAATAAACTAATGTGGTTACTGCCTCCGAGGAGCCTTTTTGTAGCGAGTCCTCGGTTGTTATCCAGCGCACCTCCCTCACACACAAATGTGGTTCAGAGCCGTGGCTTGGAGTGTTCATCTGGTCGCGTAACTCTGTGAAGCGCCGTCATTCCTGTCCGCTGCTTCTAACGCTTGACCTCATGTGCAGAGGAGGTTCCCATCTACATGCACCTGACACACTGAGGTGGATAAGTTTCCACCTGGAACACGACTGAACGCACATCAGCTCGTAGAGCGCAGTGTCTGCTGGTGACCAGGTGTTATAGACATTGTCCCGTTGACGAGAACAATAGGAGAGCTATCTTGATATCTGTGTCGCAGAGCTATTGTCAACGTCTGTCAGCAAATCCTCCCAGATTAACCGAGTCATGCCACCTCATTGTGTGTGTGTGTGTGTGTGGAGGTGTGAATGCTTAGTGAGAAGGAAAGTTGCAGATGTATTGACATAAAGGATATCAGCCTTCCTAGTTAACCATTAATCATAATAGTCTCTAATACAAACACCTTGTTGTTTGTCTGTGGTGCATCTCGAGAGAGTGACAGTCAGTGCTGGCCACTTTAAGGTGAGCGAAAAGATAAGCCCTCCCTTATAAGCCTGGGTATAATGAGATTTGGGGGTTTGGGAGATTGCCAGTTCTCACTGCCCTTTCCACCAATGCTTGGCCCGTGTGTTCAGCTCCCTGGAGGCACTACCTTGGATTCTGTTGACCCTTAAAGTGGCATGCACATGGAGACATCTCCTGAGGACGTTTTGGCCAAAATTCCTCCATCTGTTTTTTTTGTCTTCCTCCAATTGAATAACTGGTCTTGCTTTTGGAGAGACTTTTTTTTGTTTGATAGCAACACAAACTACTGGAAGTGACATGTTTTGCTTCGGCTAAAGAGTCTTTTTTTTGCTCATGTGTTGAAAAGCAAAAGAAAGCATGTCGTTGCCTTTTGTGTCTCTTAAGTAAAGTGTAGGAGAGCTTATCATGACAGTCAGTCTTGGTCTTCTTGCGTGCGTGCGGTGTGAATGTGTAATCTACAGTGAACTGTAAAAGAGTGACAGATAAAAACAGACTGAAGGCACAGTTCTGCAGCAGCGGGTGGAGACTGCAGTGCGTTCCTTCAGGCAGGAGTCTGAATCGCACCCAAACACACGGAGACTCTCAGATGAGGGAGGAGAAGGAAACAGAAGGAGTGGCATCCGAACAGACGGCCCTTCTTCACTGAGCGGCACAGATGAGTGCAGCCTGTCAGTCAATCAGTCAGATGCGACGGGCCAAAAAACCTGAAACCTTGCTTTGCCCTTCACCGTTTCTGGAGGCAGATGAAGAGGAAGTAGCTACCGGAGGAGAGGCGTGGGCTTCCTACCGGTCAACAGGATGCACCTGGTTGTAGAACCCATTCAGGAGGCCGTGATGAAGATGCTCCCGTATTTTGTGGAAAACGCTGTGTTGACCCAGAGTGAAATAAAGCGCATGTGAGTTAAGTTTATCTGCTGGAATGGGGGCTTTGAACCCGTGGGAACACGTTCCTTCACTGATGAGATTTGAGCTCAGACACTTGAACAAGGTCGGGACTTATTATTGTTGATGGTTTTTAACAGATTGGAATTTCAAATATTTTGCTCTTCAGCAGACTGAATCAATCACTGAACATGTCCAGTAAGTTAGAATGTTGAGGTAGCAGCTCTGACTCCCAGTAGTCTGTTCTTCTTTACAGCTGTTCCTCTTTGTCTTTCTGTCCGTGAAGGAGGCACAGACACCGTAGGTTATAATCGTGTAGAATCTTTGAGGCGATCTGGAAGCTTTTTTTTGTCGTAGTCTTTGTTTGCTTTGATACCAGATGTATTTTTAGCCGTAGTGTTTGTGGAGATACTGATAGCAGGATGTCGCTGGGCAAGAGACGGCAGAGCTGAGGCTGTTTAATTAGGACGTCTGAGTACAGCCAGTAAAGTATAGAATAGCTCTTCACTTACACATGAAGACCTTTCAAGAGTGCACCTTTTTAAACGGGTTTCTTCTGGTATCACAGGTCAACCTGAGGACTTGAGTTACTAGTTGAAATAGTAGAAGATGAGCAGCAGGGATTTGCACCCAGTAATGAGGCTGTAGCCCTCGTCTTGCCTCATATTATCCATCACTCCCTGACAGTGGACCCTCCTGACAGACTCATAAATCTCAAAACAGGGAACAGAGGCTGAAACAGAAATCCACCAAAGTGAGACAAAAGCTCTCGTTGAGACGTGTCCACCCCCGTGCTCTGTCACTGTGGAACTTTTTTTCTGTGGTGTTGCTGGGGGCGGAGGGAATTCATTGTGAGGTGCACAAAAACGAAGTCCATTGTTCCCACGAAATCATCTGTTTGGCCCCGGCCTGCTTCTGGACGTGGCTTTTGAAAGTGTTATCAGAGCGAGCCGAGTGAGGGAACCGCTTCAGAGCTGCATATAAACATGTGCTGGTGAAAGGTTTAGGACTTTGGTCAATGGGTTGTGTGTTTAGAGATGTAGGGGATGTGTCCATATAAAAAGTTTAACATTTTTCCAGGATATGCACTTACGTAGGTTATGCTTTTGTGATGATGCCAATAATCAGTATTTTCCCACTTGGTATTGGTACTGCAATACAGATTTTTTTTGTATTAAAGTAGTGCAAACCGCAGATGCAAAACAGGTTAGGTATTTCTGGCATGTCAATCTTACGCTATCCTCAGTAAATACAATATTAGATTACAGTATAGCTCTTTAAAGCTGACACTATATCATTACAGTGATTTCATAACAGCTGTATTTAGAGATTTCTATCTTTTTTTTGTTTTGTTCCTGTCGCTCCTCAGTCCCGTGCTTTGCTAATGATGTCCTGGTTTGCCAGACTGCACACACACACACACACACACACACACAATACACGGTGCATGTGCTCCACCCTGCTGCCAGGTAGATTTATGAATGTGCTCACATTGTTTTTGAATTGTCTCACTCGCCTCACTTCTTTTTATTGCAGTTCCCTGCTTATGTCATGTGTTGACAGCTCCGATAGCCTGACCTGAAAGACTCTGGGTTTTTACAGGCAGGTGTGAACTGGTAATTGCCGTTCTTCAACAATCGTGAAAGTTAATCATCACAAACGACTGCAGTTGGGTCAATTATTTAGCTCTGTGTTGCATTACAGCAAGCCAGCAGAGGCCCGACGAGTCAAATCTGAGTGCAGCCCTTTGCAGCAGAAAGAAAGACAGATAAGCATTCAGGATCAAAGCTTGATTCACGGCTGCTGCAGACCTGAGGTCTGCGTCTGTAACGTGGCAGCTGGGCTTTTTCACTCAGCTGTTGAGGTAATTCACCAGCAGCAGGCCGCCATGATTTATGCTCAACTCGCTGGCTGCGTCTGCTGAATTGAGCGGTCCCGTTAAAACTGAATATCTCATTTGTCTCGTGTCCCACTACTCGGCGTCGCCGTCCAATGAACAAGCTGGAACGGTTGTGCTGAGCTGTCGCTCTGCGGCGTGGTGTCTGATGTATAGCGTCTTATGTTTCAGTGCCTGTAACTCCTCTCTCCCGTTTGTTTTGCAGCCTGAGTGAGAGCTTCTTCATGGTGAAGGGTGCTGCTCTCTTCCTGCAGCAGGGGAGCAGTCACCAGGGCCAGAAAGCACATCCTCACACCAAACACGCAGGTGAGAAACACGAGTTGAGTTTGGTGTTTGTTGTGGAGAAAGTTACTTACAGTGTCCATTCTATGAGGGTCTTGATTGATGGTTGTTTTACTGGGATGGCTGGTTGGGAGCTGACTTTAACCTGGTGATAGACTGCACCATTGTATTGGTTGGAGGTTAAGGTCACATGACAAGTTGGACTGCACAATGAACTGGTCTGTGTCATCAATCAAAGGCTGTCACTTTTGAAAGACACATTTATTGCTTTGAAGACATCAGCCTTACCTGAAAGTCTACTGGCATGATGGGAAATCCGCATCAGCCAAAATGCTGCCAAGTGATTTGGCACGTCATGGCTGTGGTTGGCAGCTTTGTCCACATTTAAGCTGCTTCTCAAAAACGTGTGGTTGGGGAAATGGTTTCCCAGCAACTCTGTCCCTCAGAAAACAAGCGGATAGTTCGGTGACTTTTGCAAAGTGATTGTTAAAGGTGTTCCTGCTCTGTGAACTGGTATCCTACCATCGGTGCCAGTTTTGTGGGAATAGGCGGGACACTACGGATCTTTGATACGTTGCTGACCAGAGCTGTGACCCTTTGTTATAAAGAGGAGACTGAATTTGTGGATGTATCTGAAAGTCCATCTTCTTTTACATTCAAGTCAGCCCACTAATACAGACAAAACTGTTACAGGTAATAGATGTAGTAGAAGTCAGTCGAACTGGTTTGAACATCAACATGGACGCATAATACATAATTGTCTGCAGATATATTTTTGTTTCTGTGTATTGCTCTCGAATCTTGCAGCATCCAATAGGATCAATCAAAACCATCAAAAACACCCTTTAGTGTTGTTGTTTTGCAACTATCTGCTGCCTTAATTGATTGTACCACAGTAGTTGCTTTATGAGTGGTAACGCGTTGACCATTATGATGCAAAGTCTTTGAATGTTTTTTATATTTATAGCTACTGTGAGGAACTTTAGTTTTGTGTTGATTTTGGCGGTCCCTGTAGACAAAAGTGGTCGTGTTTCAGAGCACCAGAGTCCCTTTTTAGAAAACCTCTCATTTTACTGCACATGGGGCCAGACAGTCGGCCCTGTGCAGTCTTGGCTCTGGTTCTCCCGGGCCTCCCTTCCCTCCAGCGGGCCCAGCAATACGGCCCGGGCCGCAGCGAAGCCACATCTGGGTCTGTTTGCGGTGTGCTGGTCTCTGCTGCAGTCTGAGCTAAAGGAGTTTCTGGTGAACCTACATGATTACGTGCAAAATCCAACTCAAGCATTAGGATTACCTGTAGAGAAACAGACTATTTTCTTGCTGATGTCTTGTTTACTTCTGTAGGTCATATAGATGCATCAGCATTAAATTGAGACTGTTTCATAATAAGTTATGTTCCTCACAGTAACTTCAATCTTAAAGAACAATTCTGGACAATTGCAGTTCCCTTGTTACTGTTTCTATGTTCATATGCTCTAATTATAGATATGTTTTAATCCATTTCCATTTATTGTCAAGGTAATCTACTTACATTTTAGACAATATTCATCAGGCTAAATTTAAAACAAGTTGGTGCTCACTATTAAACTTCACAAAGATTTATTTATGTATCGGTTTCTGTCAAATTTAGTTTGACATAAAATGTATATACGTTCCAAACCTTTATCCAAAGAAAACAGAAACAGATTTCTATGTTCAGACAATGACGCATATATGAGAGGAAGTGATCAAAGACATGTTGTGGAGAAGCTCATGTACAGTAATGTCCCTTTAAACATGTTTTGACTGTGATTTTACTGAAGAGATCTGTGATATGAGATGCAATGACGACGTGACCGAGCAGAGTCAGCCACACTGTTTTATTGCCATCGGCTGTCTATTCAAACCAGTCAAGATCAACTGATTTGTCTGCCGGTTGTGACATATTTCAACATAGTTGGCTCTGCATCAGCTGCTGCTTTGCATTGCTGTTGGCCGATCTCCACACCCTGTTTCATTATCCTGCTTCACCGACACGTCTCACATGCAGACCTGTCACAGCCAGCACTGAGGAATGTCAAATGAACAAAGACAAGCTCTTGAATTGTGGTTTTGTGCTAATAGATTTGCTCATGCGAGGATGGAAAATGTATTGTTAAATGATGACTCTTCATTGGAAACATGTCGTGTGATTAAAAAACATGTAATACGTTATTGTCGCCGGGATAATGGATTTATAGTGTTAAACACTCGGCAGCAGTGTAACTTCACATACCGACACTTAACAATGCAATGCCTAAAATGATTTGCATGCATTATGTTTTCATGAATATCAGTGTTGTATCAGAATGTATGACGAGGCAGATTTATAATCACTGACATCAAGCAGTCTCTGCTCGTCCAGGATCATTTCTCTTTCTGACCTTCTTCAACAGGCGACTTACCTCAACACTTGCAGGTGATGATAAACATTCTTCGCTCGGAGGACAGAATCAAACTGGTGAGAGACAACAGAAGCATCAAAACATGCGCACACACACACACACACACGTATAGGAAAGTGACTAAGACACCTGGCACAGGAACCCCTTCAGAATGCATTTTATTGTGCACTTAAGATGCTTATTTGTTCAGTGTAATTATTAGGTCATGAGAGGGGGTTTGAACACACTCATGAGAGCATTACCAAATCTTTCCACGGTGTGTGTGTGTGTGTGTCTGCGTTAGTGTGAAGCTGAGTTATTTCATTTTATGTTCAACCAGCTCTGTGTTCTCCGTCTCCTGGGGACTCAGTTACCCAATTACATCCAATTTGTACTCCATTTTTCTTTGCACATCCAGCTGTGACACTTTGTTCGGTGCAGATTTTAGCAGAAGGGTCAGTGCGTTTTAACATTTTGCCTCTCTAGGGCATTTGCTGTTTGCGTACAATCAGAGTTTAAACTCCTGTGCAAACGAGGCATGAAAAGCAAAAAAACCTGCCACACGAGATTTATTTGAACATGTACGGCTCAACCCACACGTTTTAAGTGTGACCGTCTTGTACTTAAATTAAGTTTATGCTTAAGTGAAAGCATTTCAGACTAACTACAGTAATTGATTGTATTTCTGGCTTTGAATTTAAAGTAAAACCTCTGTACCCTGTCCAGGCGGTGCGGCTGGAGAGTGCATGGTCAGAGCACGTGCGGTACATGGTGGTGGTGTACACCAGTGGGCGACAAGACACAGAGGAGAACATCCTACTGGGAATCGACTTTACCACCAAAGACTGGTTAGAGCAGTGTGTGTGGGGTTCTGTGATCGCTGTTTGCCTGACAGATAGCCGTCTGTTAAACGCTACCAGAGCTCCATTTCTGAACTGGTATCTTCATTTGCTTTGTGTTTCTAGTGGACATGATGTAGGAACAAATCTACATTTATGAATGTGATCAAACACTCACCCACAGCTCTCTGCCTCAAACTGGAGCTGCTATACATGCACTGCAGAGTCAGAACATATTACAGTAGTTTGTGTTCCCTTTTCCCAGTCGGCAAATGAGAAAGTGAGAAAATATTTGATTGTTTCCAGTAAATCAGACATGATTTATACTCTCTCCTCTGCCAGCAAAAGCTGTTCCATCGGCATGGCGCTACCTCTGTGGAGTGACACAAAGATCCATCTGGATGGAGACGGGTGAGTTGTCTCTGTCAGTGTGACCCCTGCTGTACGGCTGCAGCATTTAACCCGGTGATGTTTCCCCTCTGTAGCCAACGCTGCCGCTACACCTGACACTTTGTATGAGCATGGAACACACAGAGCTACACTGTGCTCGGGGGAATGAGCATCTGTTTGTGTTTCCTCCTCAGCGGCTTCACTGTGAACACGGCGAGCCGGACTCATGTCTTCAAACCCGTGTCAGTGCAGGCCATGTGGTGAGTAATAAACAACCTCTGGAGCCACAGCGGCTGTCTAAAGAAATTCAGCTTTATGACATGCCACAATAAATCTCCCGAATGTGCTGCAGTGAGGCAGCTTGAGGCAGTGCTGATTTATTCTGCCCTCTGCTGACATGAAGACGCATCTGCAGAGAAGCTTTAACAGATTATTAAGACTGCTAGTAATGTGATTATTTTAAAAATGCATCGCAAAATTTGAGTTTTACTTCAATCATCTAGACAGATGACCTTTATCTTTCCAAACTCAATCTAGGTCAGCCCTGCAGGTGCTGCACAAAGCATGCGAGGTGTCACGCAGGTACAACTACTTCCCTGGAGGCATGGCTCTCACCTGGATGGGCTACTATGAGAGCTGCATCGCTTCAGACCAGAGCTCCATCAACGAGTGGAACGCCATGAAGGACTTGGAGACCACGCGGCCTGACTCGCCCACCATGTTTGTGGACAAGTCGGTTAACAAAAACTTCAATTGTTTTCTTTATGTTAAGACTTGGCCAATCGCACCTGTTGTTGACATTGCACACAACTGGAATTGTGCAAGTGCTGAGCTTTCAATGTGACTTAATCTTCGGTAGGCCTTCAGAGAGAGAGAGGACAGGGGGCCTTATTAAAGCCAAACTCAGAAGCCTCATGACGTGTCAGGACCTCGAGAATGTCACCTGCAAACAGGTAAATATACATTAGTAGTAGTAGTAGTACACACGCACACTGAAATAAACCACTGCTTTGCATTTCTTTATCGGGGTTTCATTTTCAGTGGCTGCATTTACATTTTGCTCTCTAAAGATGGAGACACAACTCAGTTCTCTTACTAGTTTTCAACCCTGGGATGTGACTTTTACTCTGGATGTCCCTTAGAGAAGACTAGTTTCAAATGACTTCTACTATACGATATAGGATTCTACCGACCGGGAATCGGATCGAAAAATACTCACAATAGGTTGATCGTGGTGAATTTCCGTCAGTGAGATAATTATGAATATTCTCACGAGTGACTTTAAAAAACAGGTACTGATGTGTTTCAGTGTTCTTTGATATTCCATCCATCCTACAATTACATAACATTTGTAAACTCATCCTAGGGATTATGATGGAGTGTCTTAACAACAACACAAGAAAAAAAAAACCTCCACACATGAATCTACATGTAAAACTCTCTTCTCAGATCCGTACAGAGCTGGAACAACACATGAGCTGTAACCTGCAGGAGTACAAAGAGTTCATCGACAATGAGATGCTGCTGATCCTGGGCCAGATGGACAAAGCCACGCTCATCTTTGACCACGTCTACCTGGTGGGACAACTGATACCGTCTCTTACATTCACCAAAGTATCTGTTCATTCCTATAAATAAGATTCCCTTTCCATCCCAAAGGACGATTGTTTTTGGACAAACTTACAAAGGTTTGAAAATATACTCGGTCCAACAGTTATTTCCTTCATTTGTTTGTAGGGATCGGAATGGAATGCATCTAATTTGGAGGAGCTGCAAGAGTCAGGGTATTTATTTTATATATTGGAGCTAAGATAAGCAGAAAAAACACATTTTCATGATGATTTGAGCGAGAAAGAATGTTGTTGATGAGTGAACACGCTCTTTCCTCCCCAGGGTGAGCTACATCCTCAACGTTACCAGGGAGATAGACAACTTCTTTCCAGGAACATTCAGCTATCACAACATCCGCGTCTACGATGAAGACGCCACCGACCTGCTGGCTCACTGGAATGAGACGTACAACTTCATTGTTAAAGCAAAGTGAGTCCTGAGTGGAACAGAAAACATGTTGCTCATGTTTGTATCGGTTTATAAAAACATCTCGTCTTCAACGGTCAAATGATCCGAATGTCACTTCACACATTTACTGTATTTGAGGGATCGGATTACTTTTCTTCCTCTATTTGCAAAGAGAATTATGATTTATCCGACTGAATGAGTGACTCAAATATGTCTTCATATTTCATTCACTTAAATTTATTGTATTTTTTGTAGTTGTACATTTTTTTATTTCACTTTATTGTCAAGCTAATATATTATGGATATGTTTTAACTGTTTTTATTGAGCATGAAAGTTGATTCTAGACCTTGGAAGCAGTAGTTTGACATTCAAGGTCTGAATTCCTAGAGCTATTTCATGGACCTTGAGTTAAGATTTTATTATTTTTATTGTATATTTTTTTTTAAATTCTCCACCCTAGAAAGAACCGCTCCAAGTGTCTAGTTCACTGCAAGATGGGTGTCAGTCGGTCTGCCTCCACTGTCATCGCGTACGCCATGAAGGAGTTCGGCTGGTCGCTAGAGAAGGCTTACAACTTTGTCAAGCAAAAGAGGAGCATCACAAGACCCAATGCAGGCTTCATGAGGCAGCTGGCCGAGTACGAGGGCATCTTGGATGCTAGGTACAGCCCTTCATGTGTGTGTGTGTGTGTGTGTGTGTGTGTGTGTGTGTGTGTGTGTGTACATGTATGCGTGTACATATTCGTATGTATAGTGTTGATTTCTAGTTGTCTTCTTTCAGTGGACCTATTTTTTATTATTTGTATATTTCCAGTAAACAGCGTCACAACAAGCTTTGGCATCCAGACGCAGACTGTGAGATGGGAGAGGGGCAGCAGGGCTTGGCTCAGTGTTGTGGAGGAGAGGAGGGCGACCACCTGACTCCAGAGCCGGGCATGTCTCCCTGCTGTGAGGAGGCGCTGTCTGATAAGGGGGCTGCATGTCCCTCCCCGCGCAGGGCTGTTGCACTGGAGGTCGACCCCGCCTACAACAACTACTATTTCCGCCGACTGTCTGACTCGGCACTGGACAGCGAACCATCGACGCCTGTGCGTGGCCCTCCCCTTGTCGGGATGGAGAAGGTCTTTATAGAAATCGAGGATGTGGAGCGCGACGCTCTGCTGGATGATGAGGGCTTTGACGGGCGTGAAGGCCCGCCGCTCCCCCAATGTGGACCTTCAGCAGAGGGGGCCGCAGCCCAGACGAGCTCTCGGGGGCCTGAGCCCCTGGAGGAGCTGCGTCTGAGGCTGGAGTTCAGCACAGTGGAGGAGGAGGATGAGGAGGAGGTGCAAAAGGAGGAGGCAGAGATGGAGGTGCTCATGCAACCAGATGATGGCGGTGGGGAAGGAGGCGGAGGAGAGGAAAAGCAAGATGTGGAGGTAGAAGGGGATACAGAGGGTAACGGGATGGACCTGGCAACCCTCAATGAAAACTCCAACAATAACAACCATTTGAGCGCTCCACCTAACCTCAATGTAAGTTTGATATATAACCTACATCTTAGAATGAAAATGCTGTTACTAATTTCATGAATCCAGTTTGAAAAAAAACAAGAAAAAAACACCAATTCCCTTAGACATTAATTTTGTTTCCTGTCGTTATTTAGGAAAAAGCTTCCCCCCTTCCTCCTCCAGTTGATGCTTCTACGCTGTCCTGCTGGGATTCTAAGTCCAAACTGAAAGAAGACATTCCACCCCTGGTTTCCAAGCTTTGCCTTAACCCCAGTCCTCCTGAAGTTCCAAGTGCTTCGTTCCCACTGTCCCAAACCTCTTCTGAAGGCCCCGCATCTTCAGTGGTACTGCTGGGCCCCTGCGGCCCTCTGTGTGACTGTGCCAACTGTGCTGATTTCTCGCCCACAGCTCTACTTGACAGAGAGGAGCAGCCAGGAGACTCGCTGCACTTCCCGGAGCAGAAGAACGACGGTGGTTTATTGGAAGTCAAGACTACGAGTCAGACAAGTACATCCGCAGCTGCCTCAGCGGCTCTCCCTGAGCTGATGAGAATGGACTCGGAGGAAGAGAAGCTTGCCGTGGCTTGCTGCGTCGGCCAACAACAGGAACCCCTGCTGCAGCTGCAGATATCCGGACTGGTCCGCCGGCGTGCAGAGAGACTAGAGCGACTTTCAGGTTTATCCCAGGAGAGCTTGCTCTCTGTGAAGCCTTTGCACGCATGCCAAAGTTCTGAAAACAGCCCTTTTCCCACAGAGGAGGAAGAGAAGTGCTCCAGCTTCACCGGAGACTTCCCTAAATCTTCTACACCACGCCAAGTGTGGTTGGAGCCACTGGTGGTGCCACTGACCAATGAAGCCTTGTTGGGGGTGGTGGGGTCTGGGCTGCTCACGCCCACCTCCTCGCCTCACGGCTCCACACTGACACGCAGCTCCAGCAGTGACAGTCTGCGCAGCGTGAGGGGGAAACCCGGCCTCGTGCGTCAGAGGGCGCAGGAGATCGAGACCCGCATGCGCCTGGCAGGCCTGACTGTGTCCTCGAGGCTGAAGCGGTCCAACTCGCTGGCCAAGTTGGGCAGCCTCAACTTCTCCTCGGAGGACCTGTGTTCAGTCTGTTCCTCAGACGCAGGAACACTACTGCTCCTCTCGCTGTCCCCAGAGCCGGGCCTGGACTGGGAATCCCCCACCACCTCTGCTGCGCCTCGGCCCTTTAAGGACCTGCACACTCCAGAGAGAGGACGACCAGGTGAGCCCAGAAGCTGACATATCAAACGGAGGATGTGTACACTCCACCCATCCCCTCGTCGGTCCCCCCCGTGTTGCTGGATAGTTGAGTCAAAGGAAACTAATGAAAACAATAGAAAACAATGCCAACTGTTGTTATAGTGTCCACTCTCCTTTGCCACATTGTTTCTCAAACTGCTGTTCACAGTGATGAAAATCATATTGCTGTATCTGACAAAGTGTATAACGCCATCAGTTCACCTCTAACTTTGTTTGATTCATGGACAAACAAGTGCCTTACCTATGAGACCATAGGCACAGAGCTGTGTGTTGGACTGCAGGAGGAGACGGTACAAGACGCTCTATAACCTTTACCTTCACAGCGGTTGGTACCGGATATTTACCAAATGATGGTATCCATTGGCACTGAGATTATTTTTACCTGTCTCATACAAAGTGGTAGCCTACGTTGACAGAAAGCAAAGTGTTAATAAATGTAGAGTTGTTTACCGCACACTTAATGTTTTAGATGCTAGAGGGGTTTTAAGATGAATGGTTACCTCATGTTGCATTCATGGAGCTCCTCAGTTCATTCGCTGATGTCGAATTAAAGTGAGGAAATCAGTTTTGAGGTGTGTGATAATGCATTGCTGTGAGTCTGTGAGTGAGTGAATGGGATCAAAGTGAAGAGAGAAGGTTGTGACTTTGTTTTGCCAGAGTCACACTCACTGTTTTCAACAAACGTTTCAGAGTTTGTTGTTCCTTTGCACTGCTTTTTTTTTTTTTTAAATATTGAGTGGACACAAGCAAGCTATCTTCCAAAATAACATCAGAGTAATGTTATTGACCTCATCATTCCCTACAATGTTGTTGGGAGAGCGAAGTGAGGAGTCGTGTTGCATGGCTTGAAATCGCCCAGTGTGACAGAAACTGAAGATTTATAGCAGTCGAATCATATAACGTATGTGGGGCTAAAGTTAGGAACATGAAACATTTTACATCCAAAACTTCCGTTACTTTAAATTCGCTCACCCTTGAGGATTGCCAACATTTTCAACTCATTTGTGCTTTTTGAAATGTGTAAGACCAAAGTCCTTTGGCTGTCTCGACAAATTGAAAACACCATTGAAGCTGTACAAAATATGTGCACCATACACATATCTCACACACACACACACACACATCTTTTTGCACCTTCTGGGAGGATTGAAAGAGACTCTGTGTAGTCATCGGGCTCATAGCTGTTAAGTTTTTATGCTCCGCTCATCAGTGAGTCTGAAAGCTTTTGTGACACGGACTCGACGATCACGATCGGTTACTTCACAGTTTTGTAACCGTTTTCTTTTTATATTTAAGTATGCAGTAACTTTTGTACTGTACAATGCTGTAGTTTGAATGCATATTGCACTTTTTATGTTGGTCAAAATAATGTACTGTATTTGTTAATTATGGAAATAAACATTTCTTTTACATAATAAACCATGCATCTGTGTTTTTTTTCTCATTAACACAATTAATTTAAAACCAATCGTATAGGTTATATCACATGAATGAAGGACAAATGAAACAGAATTAGGATTATATTCTGTATCGCCCTGCATGTTATGGATGTTGTGTTTAAGACTATCCCGAGCATCACTAAATATCTGTGCAGTGACTCGACCTCGATGGTGTGTGTGTGTGTGTGTGTGTGTGTGTGTGTGTGTGTCCTGAAATTACATCATCGTGCCCTGATATGTATGCTTTGGCAGGAGAGTCGTTTTCTAACAGCCACCTTATATAACATTTGACTTCCCGTCACTGTTTGCATGACTTCAGTGAATTACTTAAGTTACACACTTTTGCTTCTCCTGTCCTATGGGACGTGCGTGTCTGTATAATGAATGGAAGGCCCTGTGTAAAGTACAGCATGCGGGGGGGGGCATCGAGGCAGCAAAGATGTTACTTTATATTGTTTGTGTGTCAACGGCGGCTGCATTTATGCTCCTGTTTTTTTGTAAACTTACCAGAAACCTAATATTTCCTAAAGTGTGAAATGGGAAACTAATATGTCTGGTTACTGTAAACTTGTAAAACATTTAAATGACAGATGGACTAAATAAAAGACTTCGCAAAGCTCATTAATAGTGTGCCAAAAAAGCCTTTGGAGTCTGTTTTTAATTAACGATGATCTTAAATTGGAGACAGAAGGCCTTTTGTCTAGACGGTCTGAGAGTGACCTGTAACACTTTTCAAACACGAGGACTGCAGGCTGCTCGTCTGTCAACACAGCAGCCTTCAGTCCACAGTCTCTGTGCCGGCCCTCTTTCTCTTCTGCTGGGGAGTTCTTGGCTGACGTACCTCCACTTTTCTTTTATTATCTGAGGACGTATCCTGTTTTGGACGTCACTATAGAGACCAAGAACAACAAAAGAGTAAAGTCTGAGCTATTATTCAGCTAATTTCCTTCACTCCTGGACGTACCCGTGTTGGCTACCATTACCCACCATGTATCGGAGACACAAGCATCTTTTTACCATCTCCTACTTATCTTTATTAGGTTGCTGGAGTGGAGCAACATGAACTGTGCAGACCTCGACAGCAGCATGCAAACAGTGTTGGGTAAGAGACACAGGAAACAAAAGAATAGGACATTCCTTATATTGTCTCATGGTGTCAGAATCTGCACTGGTCATTGACTAAATCACCACGTTTCACTCCCCTGTCTTCTACTTGGCCACAAGATAAAAGAGTTAACACCTATGTATTAAAATCTCCCCTCAGGATCAAACTTAAAACACATTCTCCATGTACCTGAATCCCACAAGCAAAGCAACGAGATTGAGATATTAAAGACAACTTCTTCAAGGTTTCTCAAGGCAGCGAAAAGTAAAGCTACAAGTCTGAGTTTCCCCTTATTGTATTAGTCAAATGTGCTGTGACGTCACATGGATGTGATATAAGGCTCCCATTGCTTGTGCGTATGAGGGAGGACTGAACATCTCCAAACAACCAACAAAGAGCACTTTGTCGGTCCTGAGAGAGAGAGCAAACAACTCCGCTACCACGTCTAACTGGTAAGTGTCGGCCGCAACAAATGATGAGATCAATATTATATGAATCTTTATTTTAAGAGTAGTGACCTGTGATGAGGCCCTTGTCCAGCTTGCTGGACTAATCGAAGCTCGGAAGAAATTATAAGTTGTCTCTTTTCAAGATACTGAAACTTTCGATAAGTTCTTAGTTTGTTTGTTTTTGAATTCCTTTATGTCTGAGTATGTTGCACATGGTGATCAACTGATCAGCTCTGGGCATTCAAGGGGGATGAGGCAGGATAACAGAACAGGGATGGACTGTTTTAAGGGAAGGAGTACGTGGTTAATGTTCAATGATTGCAAATTGCGCTGAATTTAGCTGATGAGTTCTGTAACTTGTATTATTTAGTATTTAGTATTTCTGCTCTCTCAATATCACCGCCATGAAAAACAACATGTTTGTGTCTTCTCACACAGCTGTGCCACCATTGTAGGGCGATAACATTAGCTCCCTTAGCCATGTGTCTGGCCAGTGTGCAGGCCTGTCAGATGATAAGACAACAGCAGTCATATGTTGTCACACAGGGGCATGAGGCCGCAGACAGGAAACAGACTCATGGTTCAGATCATTGTTCATTGTCCAGCACCATTTTCTCTGCTTACTGCTGCAGTTTAGTGGGTAAAAAACGCATTTAAACAATTACACAATTAAACAATCTCATGGAAAAGTTGGGTGCTGCAACATGGTGATTTAGGTTTGGCTTTAAAGTTAACAACAGCTGCTCTCATTCCACCTCCTCCTACTGCTTCTACTAATACAAGAGCAATAACTGCAGTCATCAGCACAGTGAATGGAATACTTGCATGAACATAGTTTTTGAAACGCTAACATGTTTACCTCATACTGACTGGCTTCAGTTAACTGAAGCCAAATCAGCAGAACTTTCTGTCAACAAAAAGTGTGACATAACAAGCTGACTTTTACAAAGCACACTGTGTTGTAAAGATTTACTGACGGACTGTCATAAGACTTTGTGAACCTTCAATACTAACTGAGAATGATTAATCAATTGCTCCGACTCAGTGTTCTTGTTGTCCCTATCTGCTGTGATGCGGATTATCACAAAGCCTTGATTGAAGCCTTTATATCTTAAATATTGATACTGCTGAATCACTTACCAGTCCAGAACAAAGGAATCAAATTCACAAGTGAGATTGCTGCAAAATCTTGTGACTGACTTGAGCCACTATGGACATCGCAAGTGCATGAATTACCCAACAGAGGATATACTATAGCAGCTAAAGTCATAAGATGATCTAATTCAACACTTCCGTGAAAAATAGCTCCTGTGTGACTGTGAGTTGTTTTCTACATGGTCTCTTCCCAAGACTGGAACCCTTTCTAACGTGTAGACAGTGGTGTTAATTCCAGGTGGCTGCTCATCCCGCTTACTCTTCTGTTTCAGCAGCTTTTTTAGTGTATTATACAAAGAGGAAATATGAGTGGAAACTATACTTCTGTGCTGGCGTTCCCAACATGGGGCATGATTTTGGAGGATTGGTCTTTTGGTTAACACCATGTCTTTCTCCACAGACAATATGGGACAGAACCAGGATAAATTAGAAGGAGGAGAACAGGCCCTCGATGAAGGGTCGGAGGAGACGAGGCCAAGCCCTGACTCTGTAGCAGCAGGCAGACATACAGGTGATGTCATGGAGGGAGGAAGCTCCTGTGAGGAGGAGGCCGGCAACAACAGTGAAAATTCAGGGGAGCCAGACGCTCAGGATCTGGACGGGAGCCCCGGGCAGGAGCCAACAACACCTTCTAGTGAGAAGCACATTAATTTGTGGGTTAGTCCTTTCGCTGCAAGGGAGGTGAGTCAAGGAGGGGCTGCAGGAAAGGAGGGAGGAGGGGGAGAAGGAGGAGAAGGAGGCAGGACCACTCGACTGGTTCCACAGAAGATGGACGAGAAGCAAAAGAGCAGTGCGAAGATTGAGGAAAGAGCTGGAGCACACGAGCTGTTCAATCAAATCAAGAGAGCGGAGGAGAAGACTGAGGAGGAGCTTTACACACCCTCAAAGATCAAAATGGAGTATCAGGATGAGGGAAGCTTCCAACATGAGGAGATCCAGGATGAAAACTTCTCAGCTGGAGTTTCATATAAGAAGTCTGGCCCTGCTGTTACCTCAGAGGATGCATCCTCACTTGAAAACGCAGCAGAGGACTCTGTGATGATGGCGAAGATGAGCAGGTGTGGAGCTCATGCAGGAAGTGAGTTGTTACTGTCTGTTCAACAAGATCAGCGTGGCACCATCATGGCTGAAGTTGAAGATATTAAACTCTGTACAGGAACAGTGGGCCACTTGAGTGAGAGGAAGGAACCGCCTACAGCTCAACCCCAACATCCTTTGAAAAACAGTCTACAGAGAGAGTCTCTATTAGACGTGAGTGATACCATTCACCGTAGACCTCCGAAGGAGAGAACAGAGAATGAAACAAGAGAGGAAATATGTGAGGTGAAGCCAGTTTCGAATGACTACTCTTCAAAAAAGCCAAAGGTCACTGACACCGATGATCAAAGGGAGTCAGTGAGGCCTTATCTACCAATGGACACAACTGAAACAACCAAAAATCAAAAGATAGACTCATGTTCAGCGTCAAATCCAGCCTCAGAACCCAGTTCTATTTTGGAGAAGTTACTGAAGAGAGATAGGAAAGAGACAACCCTAGCTCTTTTGATTATAGAAGAGGTTGACACAAACGTCAAGGGCACCATTACTGCAAAGAGGATCCCTGACTGTGCAGCAACAGAGCTATCCGCCGCTAAAATCGACCAGTCAGGTGTAAATACACCTTTGTCAACATGTGGCATAAAGGGGTTGAATGAAAAAACGGCAAAAGAAAACTGTGCAACCAAAGATCATCACATTAAGGACATGAAACACACAGCTGCTACTGACAGTATGACCTCAGATTGTTTGCAGCATGGAGAGAGTTGGAACACTACAAGTGAGAGCTCACTCACAAAATCCCATTGTTCCAAAGCTGATTGTCAGAGTGCAGGGGAGAACATCAACTCAACAGAGGCTCCAGTCACTGAGGATATGGAGATAAAGCTGAACATGGGCCCCTTTAAAAACCTGTCTTCAGACAACTTACAATCAGCTGTTTCTCATGAGAGAATGTCATGTGAAGTGAGCGATGTGATCGCTGAGGACTCTGTATTTTTATCAGTGTCTGATGTGAAATCTCCACCCGCAAACAGTGACGGACAAATTGCAGATTCATGCTATTTACTTGCTGGCGAGAAGAAAGGCACCACAACCGTGAGACCACCTCTACAAATAAAGTGTGACAGTGAGCCCAAAACTGGTCAGCAGTTATCTGGCTCTACATCCTCCGTTGCTCAATTGGTGAGGAGGAAGAAGGTGAAGGACTCTACTGTGGACATTGCTGCACCAGCTGTGGATGCTGCCTCCGTTTTGGTTGCAGCCGGCACAGTTATCTCAGAGGAAAGCCACCAGGTCATGAAGCAGGATCAGAGCGTGACACTTAACACAGAAGATATGATGCCAGAAGCTGATGAACAACTTGGCAAAGGGGGCGATGACAGTGTCTCAATGAGAGACGCATCCCAAAGCACTCCCAAATCTAGGCCTGTTTCAGAACTTATAAAGGAGACCATTCAACTTCATGAAAAGCTTCAGCACCAGGACTGGCCAAAGACAGCTGAAGTCAAGTCTGATGAGCAGGGCCAGTCTGTGAAGGTGGCACAGATGAAGGCGGCTTTCGACTCAGTTCAGAAATCCCCAGACAAGGCAGTCGAGAGGAAACCATCAGTGAGAAGAGGTAAGAGTAAAATGTGTGTTGCGGCAATGTATATATATATATATATATATATATATATATATATATACATACAACAATATCAAAATGAATAGAACATATGAGAAATAACAGGATAGCAGGTAAATTAATCAGACACACAATTTACCTGAAGTCTGTTCTACTCATCCATGATTATTTGGGCTGCCAGCTTCACCACAAACACTTGGATCAGCCCTTTGTAACCTTGTTTCAAAAACGCTGTACAAATATAGTTTATTATTATGTACAAGACAGGAAGAGGGCGAAGACAAAAAAAGATGGGATGATGGAATACAGCTGTTTTCTTCTGTCAAAGTTCTGCATCACTCTGAATGTGTAAAATAACGCCATCTTGTGGTGCTGTGATATGCTTGTGGTACATTGTGTTCTTCAAGAGAATTGGAATATATTTTATGTTATAAAATTACATATAGAACAGTAATCTTGTACAAGCATGTTCTATTGTTTCACTGCGTGTCATAAACTGGATATTATAGTTTTTATTCATGGTAATTAGCAGCAGCCTTCACAAAAATACTTTATAATAATCATAATATAATAATAATAGGGAGATAATGATAGCAAATATGGTAAATAGACAAAAATAAGATAATAGGTGTGTCACTATAGTATCACATGAGATTAAATAGCCATAAAGCCGCCATAAACACACAATTGACGGTGATTTTCGGTATCTGGGAACCTGAAGAAAAGAGGCGTGAGTTCTGCTCCCTGTTATCCAAAAAGTCGCTCTGATTGGATGTTGGAGCTGTCCGTCAAAGGCCACTGCTCCACACAAGCCTCGACAAGCCAAACGAGGGGGCGGGACTAGCGTCGGAGTGGGCAAAGAGCACACAGAGCGGTGTCAGCACAGCAGCGGCTCCGGCAGAGGGAGGACTCAAGTGGGATACGCGGAGGACTGTGATACCATTCGGCTTTCAGGAATACTTTCATTTTTCTCTCAGAAGGTAGGTTACAGACTGTGTGGATTGTTTAGACTGTGTTTAGTTGTTGCCCCCCCCCCCCCCCTCCTTAAATTGGTTGCAATCGGTCTTCGTTTTTCAAGCTACAGCCGAAAGTGCATGCGCGAGCTAAAATGAATTGGGGATAGTCTGTGGAACTGTGTTTTTTTTTTTTTTTACCTAGCGCTAGCCTTCCACGGCGGTTAACTGTGACATTGCCAAACAAAGTTTCTAACAAATAACCAATGAGAATGATGATTTCAAACAGTTGTTTTTTTGTTCCTTTTTGTTGTTGTGGTGGGTTTTGGTGGATAACTCGCGCCATGAAATGTGCTGTTGCACGTTATTGTGCAGGGTGGGGTGGCTAACCGTGGTGCAGCAGGAAAACTTATCTCCGGAACGATAGATCCACAGACACGAAGGTGCAGCAACGACAGATCCACAGACACTAAGGTGCCGCAACGACACATCCACGAAGGTGCAGCAATGATATATCCACATACACGATAATAGATCCACATACAAGAAGGTGCAGCACACAACCGCGCCCTGGCCCCTGGCACCCTGATTGGTAATATTGGCTCAGTTAATGGAACAATAGCCTTAACCCATTCTAATGTCCAAGAATTACCTCTTTAATTCACAGAGACGATTATGTTTTGTCAACCTGAACTTTATAGTTTAAATTCAATCTGCATATTCATGCAGATGCCGGGTTCAGATTTGACCCACTAACGCACTGGTGTGTTACACACT